GCAGAACGTTCTCCACAGCGTCTCCAGACTCTGTCACGTCTGTCACGTGCTCAGTGTGAACCTGCTTTTATCTGTGAAGAGCACAGGGCGCCAGTGGCGAATTTGCCAATCTTGGTGTTCTCTGGCAAATGCCAAACGTCCTGCACGGTGTTGGGCTGTAAGCACAACCCCCACCTGTGGACGTCGGGCCCTCATACCACCCTCACCGAGTCTGTTTCTGACCGTTTGAGCAGACACATGCACATTTGTGGCCTGCTGGAGGTCCTTTTGCATGGCTCTGGCAGTGATCCTCCTGCTCCTCCTTGCACAAAGGCGGAGGTAGCGGTCCTGCTGCTGGGTTGTTGCCCTCCTACGGCCTCCTCCACGTCTCCTGATGTACTGGCCTGTCTCCTGGTAGCGCCTCCATGCTCTGGACACTACGCTGACAGACACAGCAAACCTTCTTGCCACAGCTCGCATTGATGTGCCATCCTGGATGAGCTGCATTACCTGAGCCACTTGTGTGGGTTGTAGACTCCGTCTCATGCTACCACTAGAGTGAATGCACCGCCAGCATTCAAAAGTGACCAAAACATCAGCCAGGAAGCATAGGAACTGAGAAGTGGTCTGTGGTCACCACCTGCAAAACCAGTCCTTTATTGGGGGTGTCTTGCTAATTGCCTATAATTTCCACCTGTTGTCTATTCCATTTGCACAACAGCATGTGAAATGTATTGTCAATCAGTGTTGCTTCCTAAGTGGACAGTTTGATTTCACAGAAGTGTGATTGACTTGGAGTTACATTGTGTTGTTTAAGTGTTCCCTTTATTTTTTTGAGCAGTGTATTATTCACATACAGTGGGGGAAAAAAGTATTTAGTCAGCCACCAATTGTGCAAGTTCTCTTACTTAAAAATATGAGAGAGGCCTGTAATTTTCATCATAGGTACACGTCAACTATGACAGAGAAATTGAGAAAAAAATCCAGAAAATGACATTGTAGGATTTTTAATGAATTTATTTGCAAATTATGGTGGAAAATAAGTATTTGGTCACCTACAAACAAGCAAGATTTCTGGCTCTCACAGACCTGTAACTTCTTCTTTAAGAGGATCCTCTGTCCTCCACTCGTTACCTGTATTAATGGCACCTGTTTGAACTTGTTATCAGTATAAAAGACACCTGTCCACAACCTCAAACAGTCACACTCCAAACTCCACTATGGCCAAGACCAAAGAGCTGTCAAAGGACACCAGAAACACAATTGTAGACCTGCACCAGGCTGGGAAGACTGAATCTGCAATAGGTAAGCAGCTTGATTTGAAGAAATCAACTGTGGGAGCAATTATTAGGAAATGGAAGACATACAAGACCACTGATAATCTCCCTCGATCTGGGGCTCCACGTAAGATCTCACCCCGTGTGGTCAAAATTATCACAAGAACGGTGAGCAAAAATCCCAGAACCACACGGGGGGACCTAGTGAATGACCTGCAGAGAGCTGGGACCAAAGTAACAAAGCCAACCATCAGTAACACACTACGCCGCCAGGGACTCAAATCCTGCAGTGCCAGACGTGTCCCCCTGCTTAAGCCAGTACATGTCCAGGCCCGTCTGAAGTTTGCTAGGGTGCATTTGGATGATCCAGAAGAGGATTGGGAGAATGTCATATGGTCAGATGAAACCAAAATAGAACTTTTTGGTAAAAACTCAACTCGTCGTGTTTGGAGGACAAAGAATGCTGAGTTGCATCCAAAGAACACCATACCTACTGTGAAGCATGGGGGTGGAAACATCATGCTTTGGGGCTGTTTTTCTGCAAAGGGACCAGGACGACTGATCCGTGTAAAGGAAAGAATGAATGGGGCCATGTATCGTGAGATTTTGAGTGAAAACCTCCTTCCATCAGCAAGGGCATTGAAGATGAAACGTGGCTGGGTCTTTCAGCATGACAATGATCCCAAACACACCGCCCGGGCAACGAAGGAGTGGCTTCGTAAGAAGCATTTCAAGGTCCTGGAGTGGCCTAGCCAGTCTCCAGATCTCAACCCCATAGAAAATCTTTGGAGGGAGTTGAAAGTCCGTGTTGCCCAGCGACAGCCCCAAAACATCACTGCTCTAGAGGAGATCTGCATGGAGGAATGGGCCAAAATACCAGCAACAGTGTGTGAAAACCTTGTGAAGACTTACAGAAAATGTTTGACCTGTGTCATTTCCAACAAAGGGCATATAACAAAGTATTGAGAAACTTTTGTTATTAACCAAATACTTATTTTCCACCATAATTTGCAAATAAATTCATTAAAAATCCTACAATGTGATTTTCTGGATTTCTTTTCCTCATTTTGTCTGTCATAGTTGACGTGTACCTATGATGAAAATTACAGGCCTCTCTCATCTTTTTAAGTGGGAGAACTTGCACAATTGGTGGCTGACTAAATACTTTTTTCCCCCACTGTATGTCACCATGCCACTGACAAATGTTGAAAAGCAAATATTCAGACAAAGACTTAAAGGGCAACTCCACCACTTTTCAAACTAATTTTCATTATCTCCAGCACAATACCAGTGTCAACCACAGGAGGTTGGTGGCACCTTAATTGGGGAGGATGGGGCTGGTTTCCATGTGTTTGATTTACTCTGTTCCATCATTTATTATGAGCCGTCCTCCCCTCAGCAGCCTCCACTGGTGTCAACATATGTGAAAACGGCACATTTTATACGTTTTGAAGAAAAAAATATAAAGTTAAGTTCTACCTGATGACATCATTTTAAAAACTGATTTTTAAACACAGATTCGCGGTGATGTGGGGAGCAAGAAAATATCCTCCCTTGGGCTAGATTTAACAGGGTTTGCCAAACTCTGTGCATGTTTTGGTTTTTGCCCTAGCACTACACAGCTGATTCAAATAATCAACTAATCATCAAGCTTTGATAATTTGAATCAGTTGTGTAGTGTTAGGGCAAAAACCTTATATTTTTAACCACAGATCATAGAAACACGCTGTTTTCACATAGACTAAATATACAAACGTATGTGGACACTCCTTCAAATTAGTGGATTTGGCTATTTCAGCTACACCCGTTGTTGACAGGTGTATAAAATCGAGCACACAACCACGCAATCTCCATAGACAAACATTGGCAGTAGAATGGCCTTACCGAAGAGCTCAGTGACTTTCAACGTGGCACCGTCAAAGGATGCCACCTTTCCAACAAGTCTGTTTGTCAAATTTCTGCACTGCTAGAGTTGCTCCGGTCAACTGTAAGTGCTGTTTTTGTGAAGTGCAAACGTCTAGGAGCAACAACGGTTGAGCCGCCAAGTGGTAGGCCACACAAGCTCACAGAACGGGACCACTGAAGTGCGTGGCGCATAAAAATCGTCTGTCCTTGGTTGCAACACAAACTACCAAGTTCCAAACTACCTCTGGAAGCAACGTCAGCACAAGAACTGTTCGTCGGGAGCTTCATAAGCCTAAAATCACCATGCGCAATGCCAAGTGTCTGCTGGAGAGGTGTAAAGCTCGCCACCATTGGACTCTGAAACAGTGGAAACACGTTCTCTGGAGTGATGAATCACACTTCACCATCTGGCAGTCTGACGGACAAGTCTGGGTTTGGCGGATGCCAGGAGAACACTACCTGCCCCAATGCATAGTGCCAACTGTAAAGTTTGGTGGAGGAGGAATAATGGTCTGGGGCTGTTTATCATGGTTCAGGCTCCTTAGTTCCAGTGAAGGGAAATCTTAACGCTACAAAACAATGACATTCTAGACGATTCTGTGCTTCCAACTTTGTGGCGTAAGTTTGGGGAAGGCCCTTTCCTGTTTCAGCATGACAATGCCCCCGTGCACAAAGCGAGGTCCATACAGAAATGGTTTGTCGAGATCAGTGTGGAAAAACTTGACTGGCCTGCACAGAGCCCTGACCTCAACCCCATCAAACACCTTTGGTATGAATTTGAACGCCGACTGAGAGCCAGGCCTAATCGCCCAAGATCAGTGCCCGACCTCACTAATGCTCTTGTGGCTGAATGGAAGCAAGTCCCCGCAGCAATGTTCCAACATCTAGTGGAAAGCCCAAGAAAATGAGTTTAGTCAATTACCGCCTTTTAAATATCCATACAAATTGCTAAAAGAAGACATTACGTTGATGAGAGCATATTACCTATTTCTAACTCTATGTGCCTATTCAGGCTACATCATCATCATGAAGATAATTACATTCAAATCCACAATTATGCATTTCTCTGGAGTACAAATCAGGTACCCAGGTTGTCATCTCATTACCATAATTATCTTACCAGGTGTTAATCCACTTCACCTACTGTAGTTTTTTTTTAAACTCAAGTTGTCATATATCATAGCTGACTGCCCTTTCTTTCTGCAGACATCTTTGAATCGTAATTTGGAGCATTTATTTAACAGTTTTTTTGAAAACTTGGTCACATAAAAAAACAGATTAATACCGTAATTCTCTTACCTAACTTTGCATCTGCATAGTTATTTAACAAACCATACAACTCTATGCACAAGGACTAGCCTACCTTTAACAATGTCCACTGACAATGTTACAAAAACACATTTACTTCAACTTTGCAATCAATTGTTTTTGTTTGGCGTTCTTTTTCAAAGTGAAAGATCTGAGTCTCAGCATAATTCCGTTACTATGAAATTGCCCTTTAGCTAAAATCAACGTTGGTGGCATTGTTGCCTTTCATTTTGGCTTTGTTGTTGAGCCTTTTGATCTAACTCAACATTTGGGTGTTTTTTTTGTTGTTGTTATTGACAGGTCACAAGTCTGATCATCATCTGATGAAGATGGATCCAGTTGATAAATATGGGAGATCTGAAAGCAGTGGTCAGCCAGAAGAGCTTTTTGTAGGTTAACCCACATTTAATGCATTCTTCAGAATGAGAAGCAATTTAATTATACAATATCTAAAATGATTGGCTATTCATTAACAAGTTTTATAGGTCAAATTGATTTTATTCTTCTAACACCAACCATGGTCTGTTCTAGGATCACTCACTGCATTGGAGGCAGGTCAAAGAGGAGGCTAAAGAACTTCAGATTTCAGCTGTGCCATTAGGAGTTGAAACGTCCCAGGTTTTTCAAAATGAGGACCCTGATGAACAAGATCCCTCATTTGACCCAGTTTCAGACATCCATGGAGTCACAGAGCAAGAGTGTGGACATAAAGGCATGACCTATCTCAAAGTAAAGGTAAGTGCTTCCTTAACCCCATGCAAGCCCATTTACGAGGCCCAGAGTTATTGTTAGAATGATACTGAATGAATTAAGTTTTCTCTGAGTCAGGTGCTGCCTTCTCCAGTCCCAGTCAAAGAGGAGTCTGAAGAATGCTCCCTAATACCAGTAGATGAAGAGAAAGTTGCCTTAATTACAGTGAAGAAAGAAGAGAATGAAGACTGGTACTTTCTGCCACTATGTGACTGCATTTGGAGTGGGCTACTGACATAAACAAGAAGTATGCCAGGTATTGGTGTGGCATCAATGTCTAAACTTAAGCCTATAGCTTCAGTGTGAGAATGGCGCTGGAATGTGTAGCGGACGTTTTACGGGCTCCTGACCAATTCTGCTATTTTTTCTTTTTTTGTACAAAATGTTTCCGCCATCATTTCCTATGACCAAAAAGAGCTTCTGGACATGCGAACAGCGATCACTAACCTCGATTTGGATGAAGATTTCTACTTCAATGAGTCGGCATCGCAGGACGTACTGCTCACCCCGGACCAGGCCCTAATCCCCGACACTCGGAAGAGAAAGAGACAGCGATATAGAGACTGACGTGCGGGCACCCTTATGAAACTATGGCGGCGAGTAAATAAACCGCCTCCACCCTCTGTTTTATTGGCGAATGTACAATCACTGGAGAATAAACTGGATAAGCTCCGTTCGAGACGATCCTTTCAACAGGACCTGAAGAACTGTAATATCCTATGTTTCTCAGAAACTTGGCTGAACAAATACATGGATAATTTTCTAGCTGGTTCTTCTATGCACGGGCAGGACAGAATGGCAGCGTCGGGTAAGCTCAAGGGTGGTATTTGTGTCTTTGTTAACAACAGCTGGTGCGCAATCTCTAATATTAAGGAAGTCTTGAGGTTCTGCTCGTTAGAATACCTCTTGATAAGCTGTAGACCATAGTATTTACCAAGGGAGTTTTTATCTATATTTTTCGTGGCTGTCTATTTACCACCACAAACTGATGCAGGCACTAAGACCGCACTCAACGAGCTGTATAGGGCCTTAAGCAAACAAGAAAATGCTCATCCAGAGGTGGAGCTCCTAGTGGCATGGGATTTTAATGCATGAAAACTGAATTCCGTTTGACCTAATTTCTACCAGTGTGTCAGCTGTGCAACTAAAGGAGAAAAAAAATCTAGATCACCTAACACATACCAAGCTTTCTCTCGCCCCTCCATTTGGCAAATCTGACCATTTACTCTATCCTCCTGATTACAAGCAAAAACTCACAGTAAGTGGTCTGATGAATCGGATGCTAAGCCCCCTGTGGCAGGGTTTGCAAACTATCACGGATTACAAAGGGAAAACCAGCCGCGAGCTGCCCAGTGACGCGAGCCTACCAGATGGGCTAAATGCCTTCTATGCTAACTTCGAGGCAAGCAACACTGAACCATGCGTGAGAGCACCAGCTTTCCCGGACGACTGTGTGATCACGCTCTCCGTAGCAGATGTAAGAACTTTAAACAGGTCAACATTTACAAGGCCACAGGGCCAGACGGATACCAGGACGCGTACTCCGAGCATGCGCTGACCAGCTGGCAAGTGTCTTCACTGACATTTTCAACCTCTCCCTGACCCAGTCTGTAATACCTACATGTTCCAATCAGACCACCATAGTCCCTGTGCCCAAGAATGCCATGGTAACCATTCTAAATGACTGTCGCCCCGTAGCACTCACATCTGTACCCATTAAATGCTTTGAAAGGCTGGTCATGGCTCACATCAACACCATCATCCCAGACAACGTGGACCCACTCCAATTCGCATGACACCCCAACAGATCCAAAGATGATGCAATCTCTATTGCACTCCACACTGCCCTTTCCCACTTGGACAAAAGGAACACCTACAGTGGGGAAAAAAAGTATTTAGTGAGCCACCAATTGTGCAAGTTCTCCCACTTAAAAATATGAGAGAGGCCTGTAATGTTCATCATAGGTACACGTCAACTATGACAGACAAAATGAGGAAAAAAAATCCAGAAAATCACATTGTAGGATTTTTAATGAATTTATTTGCAAATTATGGTGGAAAATAAGTATTTGGTCAATAACAAAAGTTTCTCAATACTTTGTTATATACCCTTTGTTGGCAATGACACAGGTCAAACGTTTTCTGTAAGTCTTCACAAGGTTTTCACACACTGTTGCTGGTATTTTGGCCCATTCCTCCATGCAGATCTCCTCTAGAGCAGTGATGGTTTGGGGCTGTCGCTGGGCAACACAGACTTTCAACTCCCTCCAAAGATTTGCTATGGGGTTGAGATCTGGAGACAGGCTAGGCCACTCCAGGACCTTGAAATGCTTCTTACGAAGCCACTCCTTCGTTGCCCGGGCGGTGTGTTTGGGATCATTGTCATGCTGAAAGACCCAGCCACGTTTCATCTTCAATGCCCTTGCTGATGGAAGGAGGTTTTCACTCAAAATCTCACGATACATGGCCCCATTCATTCTTTTATTTACACGGATCAGTCGTCCTGGTCCCTTTGCAGAAAAACAGCCCCAAAGCATGATGTTTCCACCCCCATGCTTCACAGTAGGTATGGTGTTATTTGGATGCAACTCAGCATTCTTTGTCCTCCAAACACGACGAGTTGAGTTTTTACCAAAAAGTTATATTTTTGTTTCATCTGACCATATGACATTCTCCCAATCCTCTTCTGGATCATCCAAATGCACTCAAGCAAACTTCAGACGGGCCTGGACATGTACTGGCTTAAGCAGGGGGACACGTCTGGCACTGCAGGATTTGAGTCCCTGGCGGCGTAGTGTGTTACTGATGGTAGGCTTTGTTACTTTGGTCCCAGCTCTCTGCAGGTCATTCACTAGGTCCCCCCGTGTGGTTCTGGGATTTTTGCTCACCGTTCTTGTGGTCATTTTGACCCCACGGGGTGATATCTTGCGTGGAGCCCCAGATCGAGGGAGATTATCAGTGGTCTTGTATGTCTTCCATTTCCTAATAATTGCTCCCACAGTTGATTTCTTCAAACCAAGCTGCTTACCTATTGCAGATTCAGTCTTCCCAGCCTGGTGCAGGTCTACAATTTTGTTTCTGGTGTCCTTTGACAGCTCTTTGGTCTTGGCCATAGTGGAGTTTGGAGTGTGACTGTTTGAGGTTGTGGACAGGTGTCTTTTATATTGATAACAAGTTCAAACAGGTGCCATTAATACAGGTAACGAGTGGAGGACAGAGGAGCCTCTTAAAGAAGAAGTTACAGGTCTGTGAGAGCCAGAAATCTTGCTTGTTTGTAGGTGACCAAATACTTATTTTCCACCATCATTTGCAAATAAATTCATAAAAAATCCTACAATGTGATTTTCTGGATTTTTTTCTTCTCAATTTGTCTGTCATAGTTGACGTGTACCTATGATGAAAATTACAGGCCTCTCTCATCTTTTTAAGTGGGAGAACTTGCACAATTGGTAGCTGACTAAATACTTTTTCCCCCCACTGTACGTGAGAATGCTGTTTATTGACTACAGCTCAGCGGTCAACACCATAGTGCCCTCCAAGCTAATCACTAAGCTAAGGACCCTGGAACTAAACACCTCCCTCTGCAACTGCATCCTGGATATCCTGATGGGCAGCCCCCAGGTGGTGAGGGTAGGCGACAACACATCTGCCAAGCTGACCCTCAACACAGGGTTCCCTCAGGGGTGCGTGCGTAGTCCCCTCCTGTACTCCCTGTTCACCCACAACTGCGTGGCCGCGCACGACTCCATCTTCATCATTAAGTTTGCAGACGACACAACGGTGGTAGGCCTGATCACCGACGACGATGAGACCACCTATAGGGAGGTCAGAGACCTGACAGTGTGGTGCCAGGACAACAACCTCTTCCTCAACGTCAGCAAGACAAAGGAGCTGATTGTGGACTACAGGAAACGGAGGGCCGAGCACACCCCCATTCACATTGACGGGGCTATAGTGGAGAGGGTTGAGAGATTCAAGTTCCTTGGTGTCCACATCACTAAGGATTTATCATGGTCCGAACACACCAACAAAATCGTGAAGAGGGCACGACAACGCCTCTTACCCCTCAGGAGGCTGAAAAGATTTGGCATGGGCCTTCAGATCCTCAAAAAGTTATACAATTGCACCGTTGAGAGCATCTTGACTGGCTGCATCACCACTTGGTATGGCAACTGCTTTGCATCTGACCACAAGGCGCTACAGAGGGTAGTGTGTACTGCCCAGTACATCACTGGGGCCGAGCTCCCTGCCATCCAGGACCTCTATACCAGGCGGTGTCAGAGGAAGGGCCTAAAAATAATCAGACTCTAGCCACCCAAGTCATAGACTGTTCTCTCTGCAAGCGGTACCTATGCACCAAGTCGGAAACCAACAGGACCCTTAAAAGCTTCTACCCCCAAGCATAAGACTGCTAAATAGTTAACCAAAAATACTATTTTGACTCCTCACATACGCTGCTGCTACTGTTTACTATCTCACTTCATTCCTAGTTGTAGGTACATATCTTCCTCATTTTCCTCGTATCCCTGCACATCGACTCGGTACTGGTACCCCTTGTATATAGCCAAGTTATCGTTACTCATTGTGTATCTGTTATTACTTTTCTATTATTTCTCTATTTTCTTTCTCTCTGCATTGTTGGGAAGGGCCTGCAAGTAAGCATTTCACTGTTAGTCCACACTTGTTGTTTACGAAGCATGTGACTAATAAAGTTGTATTTTATTTTAATAAAGTGAAGATTTCACAAATACAAAGCATAGCTTTCTTGAGCAGCTGCTAGCTTGAGTGCTTAGTTAGTATTTAGCAAATTCTTAAAGGTAACTGACTTTCTGACTGAACTGAATCCCCCCTCATCTCTGCTTTAAAGGACTCTGGAAACCATGAGCGTGACGTTTCAATAGGTTTGAAGATTGAAGATTGCAGCAGGACATCATTGGATCCAGGGACGGCACCAGATGCTGCTGATTTCAGTGAGTACCATTGGTGGGGTGGGTTGCAGTTATGGTGTAGAGATATAATAATGTTGCATGTACAGTGCCTTCAGAAAGTATTCATACCCCTTGACCTATTCCACATTTTGTTGTTACAGCCTGAATTGAAAATTGATTAAATAGATTTTTTTCTCACCCATCTACACATAATACCCCATAATGACAAAGTGAAAACATGTTTTTATAACTTTTTGCTAATTTATTGAAAATGAAATACAGACATATCAAATTTACATAAGTATTCACACCCCTGAGTCAATAGTTTGTAAAATCACCTTTGGCAACAATTACAGCTGAGAGTCTTTCTGGGTAAGTCAATAAGAGCTTTCCACACCTGGATTGTGCAACATTTGCCCATTATTTTTAAAAACATTATTAAAGCTCTGTCAAAATAGTTGTTGATCATTGCTAGACAACCATTTTCAGGTCTTGCCATAGATTTTCAAGTATATTTAAGTCAAAACTGTAACTCGGACACTCAGGAACATTCACTCTCTTCTTGGTAAGCAACTCCAGTGTAGATTTGGCCTTGTGTTTTAGGTTATTGTCCTGCTGAAAGGTGAATTCATCTCCTAGTGTCTGGTGGAAAGCAGACTGAACCAGGTTTTCCTCTAGGATTTTCCCTGTCTTTAGCTCCATTTCGTTTCTTTTTTTAACCTGAAAAACTCCCCAGACCTTAATGATTACAAGCATACCTATAACATGATGCAGCCACCACTATGCTTGAAAATATGGAGAGTGGTACTCAGTAATGTGTTTGCCCGAAACATAACACTTTGTATTCAGGACAAGACGTTAATTGCTTTGTAGTATTACTTTAGTGCCTTGTTGCAAACAGGATGCATGTTTTGGAATATTTGTGTTCTATACAGGCTTCCTTCTTTTCACTCTGTCAATTAGGTTAGTATTGTGGAATACCTACAATGTTGTTGATCCATCCTCAGTTTTCTCCTATGTCGTGGAAATTCTAATCAAGTGAGAGGGACTTTGTAATTTCTTCAAACAATCAATCTTTATTTGATATCGATTAATTATTGCAATAATGGAGCTGGTCAACGACCACCCGTAGGTGATCGCCGAGAGCCAAACAAACTGGAAATGCTGACGTCTTATATAGTGGACCTAAAAATGCTGTATCGGGTCATAGCGCACAAACAAGTGAGAACGTTAGTTCTGTTACTCCTCTCTGTTCAAGCCAGCCTCCGTTCTCTTCATATCTCCACACAGCTGTGCCCTTGGAAGATGGTGGAAGACAGGATGGACTGAGACACTGTGGTCACTCTCAGAGGGTCTTTGTCTTGACCGTGTGTCTAAGTTGAACAGAGGCAGAGTGGAAAAATCCCAGCTTCTTCTTACAAGACCTCCAAACAGACAGTTGGACATTTACAGGTTTAAGGCTCATACACTGCATGTGCATAACAAAAGTTGTAATTTTGCCACGACACCTATCACAGCCATTAAACTCTGTAACTGTTTAAAGTCACCATTGGCCTCATGGTGAAATCCCTGATCAGTTTCCTTCCTCTCCGGCAACTGAGTTAGGTAGGAAGCCTGCATCTTTGTAGTGACTGGGTGTATTGATACACGGTGGCTGGACGGCGTTCGCGCTTGTTGGATGCATCTCCGCCTTGTAGTTTGTCGTTATCTGACTGGCCGGTGTTGCCCGGAGCTCCCCCATCTGATAGCGCCGTCGAAAGGCAATCAACGATGGTCGCATGTCACGAGCCGTGGAAGCCGAAGACAGCGACCTCCCGCAAAGCAGTCTACACTTCCAACGAGAGGTCCGGAGCGGATACAAACAACGAATATTTTCGCCGTCCTGGAGCCTGATCTTCCTGCACCTTTGTTGCTGGGGGTGCCTGTGTCTGCGGCCGCAGTGCCTACTACTATGATGTCGACGTCGGCAACCTTCCGTCCCTGCTATGGATCGAGCGGGGCTTCTCCATCTGTCGGAGGCATCCATCCTGTGAAGCGTGGGAGTGGGCGGATTTCCTCGTCCTTCTCGCCAGCCGTGATTTTGGGCAGCTCCATGGTTAGAAATGTGACCGTTCCTTGTGCAAAAACAATGTCCTATCCCGGAGCTCGAGTAAATGACATTACTAAGCTGCTCCCGAATGTACTACGCCAGGACATGGAAATCGATTATATCGTAGTCCATGTGGGTTTTAATGACATTATGAAGGGCAGCTCTGAACAGTTGAAACTGGATTTAAAGAGCTGATTGACTCTCTGCTAGACACTAACAAAAAAAAACATATCTGGCCCTGTGCCCTCTGAATCGTGGCATTGAACGCTTTAGCAGAATTCTTGTTCTTCACAACTGGCTACGTGATTATTGCAGCTCAATGGGTGTAACTTTTGTTGACAATTTCGATACCTTTTGGAGACAAAACATGTTTTATAAGGAGGATGGGATCCACCCATATCATTTGGGTTCCTGGATCCTTTCACAGCATTATAAGGCTGCGATGAGACAATTACTTAACCATGACCCCAGCTTAGCTAATCCCTACCATTGTGATGCAGAGTTGTCAAAACGCTTCAGCAAATGTACATTACACCAGGGGCGTCAGTAGACACAATATAAGTAACCTAATGTATGTCCCTCTAACTGCCCTGAATGTCTCTGCTGATCCTACAGCTGTTGTATGCAGTAATCATGTGCCTAAGAACCAGATTTATACTGTTAGCACTGAGCCGGTGTGCCCGAGGAGGAAGTCCACTGTGTGCAGCTCACCCTGCACTAACATAAAGAACATGAGCACATCTGCTGCTAAGCTTCCCAGTAAAGCAATAAAAACAAATAAGCATCCCAGAAGAAAAGTGCTCAAAATAGCCCACGTTAACATATGTAGCTTAAGAAACAAGGTTCATGAAGTCAATAATTTGCTAGTAACAGATGACATTCATATTCTGACTATCTCTGAAACTCACTTAGATAATACATTTGATGATACAGTGGTAGCAATACAAGGTTAAAACATTTACAGAAAATATAGAAATGCCAATGGTGGAGGTGTTGCTGTTTATATTCAGAACCACATTCCTGTTAGATTAGAGAGGATTTCATGTCAAATACTGTTGAAGTAATATGGCTACAGGTTCATCTGCCTCACCTAAAGCCGATTCTGTTGGGAAGCTGCGATATTGACTGGCTTTCATCAGGCTGCCCACTCAAGAGAAAGCTTCAAACTGTAACCAGTGCCTGCAACCTGGTTCAGGTTATCAGTCAACCTACCAGGGTAGTTACAAACAGAACAGGAATTAAATCATCAACATGTATTGATCATATCTTTACTAATGCTGCAGAGATTTGTTTGAAAGCAGTATCCAAATCCATTGGATGTAGTGATCACAATATAGTAGCCATATCTAGGAAAACCAAAGTTCCAAAGGCTGGGCCTAATATTGTGTATAAGAGGTCATACAATAAGTTTTGTAGTGATTCCTATGTTGTTGATGTAAAGAATATATGTTGGTCCGTGGTGTGTAATGAGTAGCAAACAGACACTGCACATGACACATTTATGAAATTGCTTATTCCAGTTACTAATAAGCATGCACCCATTAAAAAAATGACTGTAAAAACTGTTACATCCCTGTGGATTGATGAGGAATTTAAAAATGGTGTAGTTGAAAGGGATGAGGCAAAAGGAATGGCAAATAAGTCTGTCTGCACAACCGATTGGCAAACTTATTTCAAATTGAGAAATCATGTGACTAAACTGAATAAAAAGAAGAAGAAACTACACTATGAAACAAAGATAAATGACATAAAGAATGATAGTAAAAAGCTTTGGAGCACCTTAAATGAAATTTTTGGAAAAAAGGCAAACTCGGCTCCATTCATTGAATCAGATGGCTCATTCATCACAAAACCAACTGATATTGCCAACTACTTAAATTATTTTTTCATTGGCAAGATTAGCAAACTTAGGCATGACATGCCAGCAACAATTGCTGACACTACACATTCAAGTATATTTGACCAAATTATGAAAGACAAAGGTTGTAATTTTGAATTCCCTAAAGTGAGTGTGGAAGGCGGTGAACAAATTATTGTTGTCTATCAACAATGACAAGCCACCGGGGTCTGACAACTTGGATGGAAAATTACTGAGGATGATAGCGGACGAAATTGCCACTCCTATTTGCCTATAAGCCTACTAGAATGTGTGTGTTCCCAGGCTTGGAGGGAAGCAAAAGTCATTCCGCTACCTAAGAATAGGAAACCCCCTTTACTGGCTCAAATAGCTGACCAATTAGCCTGTTACCAACCCTTAGTAAACTATTGGAGAAAAATTGTGTTTGACCAGATACAATGCTATTTTACAGTAAACAAATTGACAACAAACTTTCAGCATGCTTATAGAGAAGGACATTCAACAAGCACAGCACTTACACAAATGACTGATGATTGGCTGAGAGAAATTGTTAATAAAAATATTGTGGGGGCTGTTTTGTTAGACTTCAGTGCGGCTTTTGACATTATTGATCATAGTCTGCTGCTGGAAAAACGTATGTGTTATGGCTTTACTCCACCTGCTATATTGTGGATACAGAGTTACCTGTCTAACAGAACACAGAGGGTGTTCTTTAATGGAAGCCTCTCCAACATAATCCAGGGAGAATCAGGAATTCCCCAGGGCAGCTGTCTAGGCCCATTACTTTTTTCAATCTTTACTAATGACATGCCACTGGCTTTGAGTAAAGCCAGAGTGTCTATGTATGCGGATGACTCAACACTATACATGTCAGCTACTACAGCGACTGAAATGACTGCAACACATAACAAAGAGTTGCAGTTAGTTTCAGAGTGGGTGGCAAGGCATAAGTTAGTCCTAAATATTTCTAAAACTAAAAGCATTGTATTTGGAACAAATCATTCACTAAACTCCAAACCTCAACTAAATCTTGTAATAAATAATGTGGAGATTGAGCAAGTTGAGGTGACTAAACTGCTTGGAGTAACCCTGGATTGTAAACTGTCTTGGTTAAAACATATTGATACAACAGTAGCTAAGATGGTGAGAAGTCTGTCCATAATAAAGTGCTGCTCTACATTTTACATTATAGTCATTTAGCAGACGCTCTTATCCAGAGCGACTTACAGGAGCAATTAGGGTTAAGTGCCTTGCTCAAGGGCACATTTACGTCATTTAGCAGACGCTCTTATCCAGAGCGACTCACAAATTGGTGCATTCACCCTATAGCCAGTGGGATAACCACTTTACAAATTTTTTTTTTTGGGGGGGGGGGGGTAGAAGGATTACTTTATCCTATCCCAGGTATTCCTTAAAGAGGTGGGGTTTCAAATGTCTCCGGAAGGTGGTGAGTGACTCCGCTGTCCTGGCGTCGTGAGGGAGCTTGTTCCACCATTGGGGTGCCAGAGCAGCGAACAGTTTTGACTGGGCTGAGCGGGAACTATGCTTCCGCAGAGGAAGGGGAGCCAGCAGGCCAGAGGTGGATGAACGCAATGCCCTCGTTTGGGTGTAGGGACTGATCAGAGCCCGAAGGTACAGAGGTGCCGTTCCCCTCACTGCTCCATAGGCAAGCACCATGGTCTTGTAACGGATGCGAGCTTCAACTGGAAGCCAGTGGAGTGTGCGGAGGAGGGGGGTGACGTGAGAGAACTTGGGAAGGTTGAACACCAGACGGGCTGCGGCATTCTGGATGAGTTGTAGGGGCTCTACCTTCTTAACAGCACTATCAACAAGGCAGGTCCTACAGGTTCTAGTTTTATCGCACCTGGACTACTGTTCAGTCGTGTGGTCAGGTGCCACAAAGAGGGACTTAGGAAAATTGCAATTGGCTCAAAACAGGGCAGCACGGCTGGCCCTTGGATGTACACAGAGAGCAAACATTAATAATATGCATGTCAATCTCTCCTGGCTCAAAGTGGAGGAGAGATTAACTTCATCACTGCTTGTGTTTGTGAGAGGTGTTGACATGTTGACATGTTGAAAGCACCGAGCTGTCGGTTTGAACGACTGGCACACAGCTCAGACACCCATGCATACACCACAAGACATGCCACCAGAGGTCTCTTCACAGTCCCCAAGTCCAGAACAGACTATGGGAGGCACACAGTACTACATAGAGCCATGACTACATGGAACTCTATTCCACATCAGGTAACTGATGCAAGCAGTAGAATCAGATTTTTTTAAAAAAACTGATACAAATACACCTTATGGTACAGCGGGGACTGTGAAGCAACACAAACATAGGCACAGACACATGCATACACATGATAACATATGCTCTATACACACACGTACACATTGATTTTGTGTTGTAGATATGTGGTAGTGGGGTAGGGGCCTGAGGGCACACACTTAGTGTGCTGTGAAATCTGTTATGAATGTATTGTATTGTTTTTTAAATGTATAACTGCCTTAATTTAGCTGGACCCCAAGAAGAGTATCTGCTGCCTTGGCAGCAGCTAATGGGGATCCATAATGAATACAAATACATCCAAAGTGTAATTTCACCATGCTCAAAGGGTTATTCAATGTCTGCTTTATTTTTTACACCCATCTACCAATAGGTACCCTTCTTTGCGAGGCATTGGAAAACCTCCCTGGTCTTTGTTGTTGAATCTGTGATTGAAATTCAATACTTGACTGTGGGACCTTACAGATAATTGTATATGTGGGGTACAGAGATGAGGTATTCATTAAAAAATCAGGTCAAACACTATTGTTGCCACAGAGTGAGTCCTTGCAACTTAGTATGTGACTTGTTAAGCAAATGTTTACTCCTGAACTTATTTAGGCTTGCCATAAGAAAGGGGTTGAATACTTATTGAGTCAAGACATTTCAGCTTTTCTAATTCTAAAATTGTAAACATTTCTAAAAATATAAATTCACTTTGACATTATGGGGTATTGTGTGTAGGCCAGTGACCAAAAAATCTAAATTTAATCAATTTTAAATTCAGGCTGTAACACAACAAAATGTGGAAAAGTAAAGGGGTGAGAATACTTTCTGAAGGCACCACGTGACAAATGTTTCATTGCTTATTAACTATGGCTCTATAATGAAATAGAACTGCAGTTCAGTTGATGTTTTTCTCTCTTTCCTTTAGGTGACTCTAAAGGGCAGTCCACCTCTTTCTACCCATGCCCCCATTGTACGCTTGGTTTCACCATAGAACGTTTTTTCCACGGGCACCTCAAGAGGGCCCACCCTGAAGAGTACATCACTCTGCTGAAGTCTGGGGAAATCATAGCAAAAAAAAAAAAGTGTTCACAGCTGCCCCCAGCCATGTGCCTGCAATGTGGCAAGAGCTTCTCCAATAAATATGTTATGAAAACACATCAGAGGAGTCACACAGGAGAGAAAGATTATCACTGTGCAGACTGTGGGAAGAACTACGTCTATGCGGATGCACTTAAAAAACATAAAAAAAGATGTGGGAAAGGATTCCGAAGACAAACCCAACTGACCAGCCATGAAATGATCCCCACAGGAGAGAGACCATATAAATGCTCTCAGTGTGGAAAAGGATACCGAACACCAGCCCATCTAAAAGCACACCAGAAAATCCACACAGGAGAAAAGCCTTATCAGTGCTCTCAGTGTGACAAATGTTTTGTATTTTCCAGAGACCTTAAGAGACACAGATGGACTCACACTAGTGAGAGACCATATAAATGCTTTGAGTGTGGGAAAGGATTCATAGAACAAACCCAAATGACCAGCCATGAAATGATCCACACAGGAGAGAGCCAATTTAAATGCTCTCAGTGTGCAAAAGGATACCGGACACAATCCCATCTGACCAGTCATGAAATGACCCACACAGGAGAGAGACCATATAAATGCTCTCAGTGTGGAAAAGGATACAGAAGACCAGCCCATCTAAAAAGACATCAAATGACCCACACTTAAGAGAGACCCTATGATTGCCTCAGGTGTAAGAAGTCATTCTACCGGCTGAAAACTCTCAAAGCACACCAGAAAACCCACACAGGAGAAAAGCCTTTTTGGGTGATTCTTCATGAAACTAGAACAAAATAAGACTATGATTTTGTTGATTTTCATGACATTTAATCCATAGAAGGATCCTTTGGAGGAAGGATTGCAGAAATCCCACTGGAACTTTGATATGCCTGTAGAGTATATTATGTTCAACAATATATTGAAACATTTGCTAAATCTAAAATTGTATATTTTCTATATTCCTAAATTAATGTTTGGCCCTTAAAATTGTCAAAGACTCCAGCCACCCTAGTCATAGACTGTTCTCTCTGCTACCGCACGGCAAGCGGTATCGGAGCGCCAAGTCTAGGTCCAAAAGGCTTCTCAACAGCTTCTACCCCCAAGCCATAAGACTCCTGAACAGCTAATCATGGCTACACGGACTATTTGCACTGCCCCCCACCCCCACCCCATCTTTTTACGCTGCTGCTACTCTGTTAATTATTTATGCATAGTCACTTTAACTCTACCCACACATATTACCTCAACTACCTCAACTAGCCGGTGCCCCCGCACATTGACTCTGCACCGGTACCCCCCTGTATATAGCCTCCCTACTGTTATTTTATTTTACTTCTGCTCTTTTTTTCTCAACACTTTGTTGTTTTATTTTACTTTTTTATTAAAAAATAAATGCATTGTTGGTTAAGGGCTGTAAGTAAGCATTTCACGGTAATGTCTACACCTGTTGTATTCGGCGCATGTGGCAAATAAAATGATTTTATTTGATTTTATTGAATGAGCGGTAACGCTTCATATGACACCATTTTCTTCTTTGTATCACCTACAGATGAAACATTATGGAGTAAAGGAGTCCTGGTTATGGCCAGAATGTCACAAATGTTCCAACTTAAATTAATGATTTCTTAATTATGCTTTAATATACAAATGTCAAATATAGGTCAACAATCCTTCCTCCAAAGGACCCTTCTATGGTATGTTTTTTTCATGATCGTTTTTTGTTCTAGTTTCGTGAGAATCACCATGTCAGTGCTCTCGGTTTGACAAATGTTTTGGCTTTTCCAGAGACCTTATGAGACATCAGTTGACACATACAGGGGAGAAACCGTTCAGTTGCCCCCAAAGTGAAAAATGTTTCGGTAGGAAATGGGCATTGACATACCACCAATGGACACACAGCAAAGAGAGGCCTTTCCACTGCTCTGTGTGGACAGAGCTTTAGCCTAAGGGAGACCTTTTATATGCCACCAGCAGAACCACACAGGGAAGAAGACGTTTCAATGCACTCAGTGTGATAGGAGTTTCTTCAGAGCGGCTCACCTGAAATCCCATCTCCTCATCCACAGTGGAACCAAAACACTGGTCTGCTCTAACTGTGGGAAAGGGTTCAACCAGGATGGGAACTTTAAAACGTCACCAACAATTCTGTATGAAGACATTAGAGCAAGGTTGTAATGAACCCCCATCTGTAGAAGTACAGATATGATCTTTAGTGAGTAGTAGGTCAGGTGTCATAGGATTGGAATAAATACAATACCACATAATTAGTTATAGTAGAGTGAGATGAATTGGATCATCATTAAGTTCAACAATCTAATACAGTTCCGAATAAACTGAGAAAATATTTTCTTAATTGTGTCATGATTTACACATAGACTTTCGTTGGTGGTTGTTGTCCATTGACTAACTTGATAACATTCTCACCTTGTTCTGACCAAACAAGCTGTGGCAATTGTGTAAGTTGCAACACTTAATGAACACATGCAGACACTCCAGTACAGTGTTGCACAGTAATGGGTTACTATAACGCATGGATCTGTTACTCATAGGAAGTGTCAATGTGTGGACTATGACGCACTGATTAGGAAGTGAGAGTCATTGTCCTTGCAAATGCAACCTGACTATAGAAGACACTGTGAGTAGGCATACTGATGCGTATTGCACCAGCTCACACATTTACACATTACTTTGACAAGTCTATTTGACTAAGGAGAGAGTAGACTAACATTGGTACTGACACAATTAGAAAAAATAAGTATAATATATATGCCATTTAGCAGACACATTTATCCAAAGTGACTTAGTCATGTGTGCATACATTTTGGTTTCTCTTTATCTTCTCGTCCTTGTCTTCGACCATGGACCATCAGGTAAGCCTCTCATTTAATGTGACAAGTCATATTTATTATACTGTATGGATATTTTAGGGATCTCTAACTTTTGATAGTTGATCAGATTCTGAAGTGTTTTTAAGTCTTGGGTGTGGTAATTGCATCAAAAGTCCTTAAAGCCTTTTATAATATTGCATTCCCTAAACAACAAAATATAGGCCTACCCATATTGAAAAATCTATGGTTTAGAAATATGTGCTACATAAAAAGCACATTCAGTACTGTTCTCGTGTATTAGAGGAAGCAGTATTGACATACTGTGAAGCTGGTGGTTTCTTAATTCCTCACCGTTGACCCTATATTCCCCATTATCCTTTGAGTAACAAATAAAAGATGCTCATAAATCACGGTTTTAGAGCTACAGAAATATTTGAGCTTTTCTAGAGACAGAGTAAACCAATATCCAGCGTATTCTAATATGCATTCACACATTCATTTTAAATGGATGGCACTGAACAGGATACTATCTATTCATTCAATACAGGTTGCAACAGCCTGTGGATGGTGACGAAATGTACTGAAAAGAGTGAAGAAGCCATCACTATCACCTGTCACCACCACCACATGTTCAGAGACCATGTCAAATACTGGTGTAAGGGCAGATCCTGACCCTTATGTACAGTGATGGCCAGTACCGACCCAAGGCGGAGCAGAGACGGCATGTCAATCACAGACAACACAGAGGAGCTGGTCTTCACTGTGACCATGAGGGAACCTGCAGGAGACTGACACCAACAGGTCCTGGTGTGCTCTGAAAGTGGGTGTGATAGGCAAGCCAGATGTCAAAGTATCCCTGGACATCACAGTCACCCAAGGTGAGCTTCACTTGAATGTACTTTTTTGACTTTGTATTACTGTTTGCATTGCATACTTTCTTGACAGAAGTCTGAAGAAATGTAGCATATTACAGCAATAATAATGATATACAGTGGGGAGAACAAATATTTGATACACTGCCGATTTTGCAGGTTTTCCTACTTACAAAGCATGAAGAGGTCTGTCATTTTTATCATAGGTACACTGCAACTGTGAGAGAATTTTTTTTCCAGAAAATCACATTGTATGATTTTTAAGTAATTAATTTGCATTTTATTGCATGACATAAGTATTTGATACATCAGAAAAGCAGAACTTAATATTTGGTACAGAAACCTTTGTTTGCAATTACAGAGATCATACGTTTCCTGTAGGTCTTGACCAGGTTTGCACACACTGCAGCAGGGATTTTGGCCCACTCCTCCATACAGACCTTCTCCAGATCCTTCAGGTTTCGGGGCTGTCGCTGGGCAATACGGACTTTCAGCTCCCTCCAAAGATTTTCTATTGGGTTCAGGTCTGGAGACTGGCTAGGCCACTCCAGGACCTTGAGATGCTTCTTACGGAGCCACTCCTTAGTTGCCCTGGCTGTGTGTTTCGGGTCATTGTCATGCTGGAAGACCCAGCCACGACCCATCTTCAATGCTCTTACTGAGGGAAGGAGGTTGTTGGCCAAGATCTCGCGATACATGGCCCCATCCATCCTCCCCTCAATACGGTGCAGTCGTCCTGTCCCCTTTGCAGAAAAGCATCCCCAAAGAATGATGTTTCCACCTCCATGCTTCACGGTTGGGATGGTGTTCTTGGGGTTGTACTCATCCTTCTTCTTCCTCCAAACACGGCGAGTGGAGTTTAGACCAAAAAGCTATATTTTTGTCTCATCAGACCACATGACCTTCTCCCATTCCTCCTCTGGATCATCCAGATGGTCATTGGCAAATTTCAGACGGGCCTGGACATGCGCTGGGTTGAGCAGGGGGACCTTGCGTGCGCTGCAGGATTTTAATCCATGACGGCGTAGTGTGTTACTAATGGTTTTCTTTGAGACTGTGGTCCCAACTCTCTTCAGGTCATTGACCAGGTCCTGCCGTATATTTCTGGGCTGATCCCTCACCTTCCTCATGATCATTGATGCCCCACGAGTTGAGATCTTGCATGGAGCCCCAGACCGAGGGTGATTGACCGTCATCTTGAACTTCTTCCATTTTCTAATAATTGCGTCAACAGTTGTTGCCTTCTCACCAAGCTGCTTGCCTATTGTCCTGTAGCCCATCCCAGCCTTGTGCAGGTCTACAATGTTATCCCTGATGTCCTTACACAGCTCTCTGGTATTGGCCATTGTGGAGAGGTTGGAGTCTGTTTGATTGAGTGTGTGGACAGGTGTCTTTTATACAGGTAACGAGTTCAAACAGGTGCAGTTAATACAGGTAATGAGTGGAGAACAGGAGGGCTTCTTAAAGAAAAACTAACAGGTCTGTGAGAGCCGGAATTCTTACTGGTTGGTAGGTGATCAAATACTTATGTCATGCAATAAAATGCAAATTAATTACTTAAAAATCATACAATGTGATTTTCTGGATTTTTGTTTTAGATTCCGTCTCTCACAGTTGAAGTGTACCTATGATAAAAATTACAGACCTCTACGTGCTTTGTAAGTAGGAAAACCTGCAAAATCGGCAGTGGATCAAATACTTGTTCTCCCCACTGTATATCCTTTCCATCAGCCTCTCCAGATCTGTCAGTGGTTGATAAGCTGGAATCTGGTGAGGAGCGGGTCAGTGTACAGTGTCTCTACAGTGACACACTCCGATACAGAGAGAAGAAGTGGTGCAGGAGTGGAGACCGGCATTCTTGTCTATTGTGATGAGTGAGGACAAGACAGGAGTGTTCAACGTGACCTTGAGGCAACTGGAGAAGAAAGATGAAGGCTGGTACTGGTGTTCTGTTGGAGTCCTACAGGCCGCAGTTCATATCAATGTCACCCAGAGACCCACAACACACAGGAACATTGCAGGTCAGTAAGTACTGATACAGAATTGGCCTAGAGACTCTTGCACTTTCAAACAGTACTTGGCTTGTGATAAAAAATGATGTTCAATATGTTTCTTTAATAATGAGGACATTGTTACACTGAAGTTGCTTTGTGCAATGTTTTTCATTTTAATTTCATTTTAGTCATTTAGCAGACACTATAATCCAGAGTGATTTACAGTTAGTGCTTTCATCTTAAGATAGCTAGGTGAGACAATGTTTGCAAAGGTATTTAATTTGTAATATTTTTCTCTTCCTGCAACATTTTTGACTGTACTCATTTTTGTTTCCTTCCACTGAAGCAGTGACTACTCCAACTCTGCCCATGTTACACTCAGCATTCTCCACATTCAGACTCCACAGCTACCTCTGCCTCAAAGACCTTCCGCATTAGTAGTCTCTGCTCTGACAGTAACATCCTCATATGGCTCTGCAACTCCATATCCATCAACTGTCTCAGTTCCATACATCACAATCCGTTCTTTCAAACTGACTTCTCCACTAACAACAATACAACCTATAGTGAGGGGAAAAAAGTATTTGATCCCCTGCTGATTTGGTACGTTTGCCCACTGACAAAGACATGATCAGTCTATAATTTTAATGGTAGGTTTATTTGAACAGTGAGAGACAGAATAACAACAACAAAAAATCCAAAAAAACGCATGTCAAAAATATTATAAATTGATTAGCATTTTAATGAGGGAAATAAGTATTTGACCCCTCTGCAAAACAAGACTTAGTACTTGGTGGCAAAACCCTTGTTGGCAATCACAGAGGTCAGACGTTTCTTGTAGTTGGCCACCAGATTTGCACACATCTCAGGAGGGATTTTGTTCCACTCCTCTTTGCAGATCTTCTCCAAGTCATTAAGGTTTCGAGGCTGACGTTTGGCAACTCGAACCTTCAGCTCCCTCCACAGATTTTCTATGGGATTAAGGTCTGGAGCCTGGCTAGACCACTCCAGGAGCTTAATGTGCTTCTTCTTGAGCCCCTCCTTTTTTGCCTTGGCCGTGTGTTTTGGGTCATTGTCATGCTGGAATACCCATCCACGACCCATTTTCAATGCCCTGGCTGAGGGAAGGAGGTTCTCACCCAAGATTTGACGGTACATGACCCCGTCCATCGTCCCTTTGATGCGGTGAAGTTGTCCTGTCCCCTTAGCAGAAAAACACCCCCAAAGCATAATGTTTACACCTCCATGTTTGACGGTGGGGATGGTGTTCTTGGGGTCATAGGCAGCATTCCTCCTCCTCCAAACACAGTGAGTTGAGTTGATGCCAAAGAGCTCGATTTTGGTCTCATCTGACCACAACACTTTCACCCAGTTCTCCTCTGAATCATTCAGATGTTCATTGGCAAACTTCAGACGGGCCTGTATATGTGCTTTCTTGAGCAGGGGGACCTTGCGGGCGCTGCAGGATTTCAGTCCTTCACGGCGTAGTCTGTTACCAATTGGTTTCTTGGTGACTATGGTCCCAGCTGCCTTGAGATCATTGACAAGATCCTCCCGTGTAGTTCTGGGCTGATTCCTCACCGTTCTCATGATCATTGCAACTCCACGAGGTGAGATCTTGCATGGAGCCCCAGGCCGAGGGATTGACAGTTATTTTGTGTTTCTTCCATTTGTGAGTAATCACACCAACTGTTGTCACCTTCTCACCAAGCTGCTTGGCGATGGTCTTGTATCCCATTCCAGCCTTGTGTAGGTCTACAATCTTGTCCCTGACATCCTTGGAGAGCTCTTTGGTCTTGGCCATTGTGGAGAGTTTGGAATCTGATTGATTGATTGCTTCTGAGGACAGGTGTCTTTTATACAGGTAACAAACTGAGATTAGGAGCACTCCCTTTAAGAGTGTGCTCCTAATCTCAGCTCGTTACCTGTATAATAGACACCTGGGAGCCAGAAATCTTTCTGATTGAGAGGGGGTCAAATACTTATTTCCCTCATTAAAATGCAAATCAATTTATAACATTTTTGACATGCGTTTTTCTGGATTTTTTTGTTGTTATTCTGTCTCTCACTGTTCAAATAAACCTACCATTAAAATGATAGACTGATCATTTCTTTGTCAGTGGGCAAACGTACCAAATCAGCAGGGGATCAAATACTTTTTTCCCTCACTGTACATGCTGTTCTCCTTCCACTGAATCTACAACTACTGATGAGAAAATCAAGAGCAACAGGTATGTCTTGTCTGATGCTGAAAGTATTCTATTCAAACGCCAGATTTTTCTTGGTGCAAGAGATGCACAAGATATTCCATGACTCTTTTTGCTGCATTTATTACTTCTATGCTTTGCCACAAGATGTCCCCCTCTGTATTTGAATTGATTTCCATGTGAGTCAAGTTAGTCTGTACCTTGTGCTGCTTCCTCAAATTGACTTTTGCTTTTTGTTACCATTATTTGATAATGGTTGTATGTTTTTAATCTATTTTCTAAACCTGCCCTGCCATGCTCCTATTCTCATCGTGTTGGCCATGGTGCTGTTGGTGATTGTTGTTTTGGCTTCAGTGAACATCTATAGATCTAGGAATAGTAAGTGCTATCCTCCTTCAACTTTAGAATGTATATTTCTCCTACAAAATAAATACATCAACTAAATGTGTTTTGAACATACTCTGTTTCATGTGTTACCCTGACCATATCATCACTGTTACACATTGTCATGTTCCATTAATTTTGCGCATTAAATGAAGAATAAATAAAAATGCAGACATGTTGATTTACCTGTTTCCTGTGTCCCTTATAGTTATTTCCTGTTTGTGTCTTTAAAGACATGAATAGTGTGTTCAATTTCACTTAAATAAATCCATACGTATAATCTAATCACACATGTTCATTTTGACAAGGAATTTGGACTAAACTAAACGTGATGAAAAGACAACACCTACTTCGGTAGTCTCATCACTAGAGCTGCTAGGATGGTGCATGCCACAAATACCAGGCCAACAGCAACTTTCAGCAGAATATCCAGATATCTCAGCCAGTCCCAGCTAGAAAACATCAAAACATTTCTCCAAATTAGCCTCTTTGTTACAGTATATCTACACTAATAAATACAAAATAATGGTTTCACCTTGGGTTATCATCATTCGTTTCTCTCAGTCAAGACCAAAGGGAAAGTGATCAAGTTCATGGTTGGAGGAGATATTGCTATAATAGGAAAGGAAAAGTACTTCATTAGATTTATATAACAAGCACCACATGCTGGACACTTGTACATGAAATACAAACAAGTATGATTATTATTATCTTGTTTCAATAGATTTATCTTGAAAATGAAACTTTTAAAAAGTACAATGGTTTTTCAACAGCATTATTTATCATCTGAAGGGGACAACAAAGCCTGATATGTGAGTGATAGTGAATCTGTGATGTTCTATCAGCTTACATGCGTTAGATGCATTGAGGACTGAGATGTACACCGGGATATGCTGGTCTCCTGCTATGCATCAGTGCCAGTCTGTGTCATTCATCTCCAGGTGTCTCATCATCACAGTGAAAGTGCTACACTCCCTATCGATAAGCAGATTGAGATGGTCCTGAGACGCCTGTTCTCCCTCTGCAGTGAGGCAGGAGCTTCGGTTTGCAGCAGGTGTCCCATTGTTACACCACATCATCTCACGCTCTTCCAGGATGTCGCTGTAGAGACACTTAGCTGTGATGCTGTCCCCCTTCTTACCAGACACCATGTTGCTCCTCACTGACACACCTGGGAAGCCTGGAGTATGGAAACAGAAACAATACACACAAAGCAAGCGCACTCTTGATGATCACACAGAGATGTTAATGAGATCTTGTTTTGAAAGCGTAACTAAAATCCGTAGATTAACTATAAATATAGCTGCGAGAAGCAATGAACGGGGTTCACAGAATGACAGAAAGGACACAAGATTTGTTGGATAACAAAGCAAGCACTCTATCATGTAGGATTTAAGATTTGCATATCAAATTTCATGGCCCCATGTCCATTGGTTCAGTTCTTATAGCCCTGGTGTGATATGGGGCCATCTAGTGGTGTAGTGTGGCCGTCTTTGAATGCAGCAGCTAATCATTCTCAAATTAATTAGAGGCTAATTCATTGAGTCTATATACCAAATCTGGAGTCAATATGACTTATGGTTGATGAGAAGAAGATTTTGAAAATATGTTTAGCATTAGCATATATGCTAATGTGAATCTATAGGTACAGTGCGGCTATATATGAATGCAGCAACCATTTTTTGCAAAACCATTAAAGACTGATGCAAAGAGTTGAAATCCAAAATCTGGAGTGAATCTGATGTATGGTTCATGAGGAGAAGATGATTGCAGATGATTTTGAGAATTAGTGTTGCATATGCAAAGAATGACTTAATAGTTTCCTTGTTTTTTGAGATATCAATACCAAATTCAGTGTGGTTCATCTTAGGGACGTCCGTGATAGCGATGAAAATTTTCAAATTGATTTTTGATTTGTCAATAACCCAGCCATCTTTTGACCAATCCCTTACCTTTTCTGAAACTAAGTAAAGGAATATACCATGGGTCTTTTTAGCATATTTTAGCATATTAGAGTATGTGCTAATATGCATCTACTGGTATAGTGGCCATCTGAATGCATTAACATTATTTTATAACTCTTTAAATATATAACACATTTTATATTTTACAACTCTTTAATGACTATTGTGTTAACCCCAAATTTGGAGAGAATCTGACTTTTAGTCCATGAGAAGAATAATTTTAGTAATAATTAGTGTTACATAGTCAAAAAAGTGAATTGTTAATAGTTTATTTTTTCCTTTTTTTAATGGACACATACAATCGGATTTCCTGATTTATAAATAACTCAGCCATCTCTTAACCAATCACTTAGCTTTTCTTAAACTAAGTTAAGATATGTACCATGGGCCTCCATATAACATTATTTTGACTTATGGTTCATGACAATACGCTTTTCAAAGTTTTTCCAGAATTTCCAAGAGGGAGAAAAATCTATCCTGATGGACCTTATGGGTCCTTGAAGCAAATTTGTTCAGCATGAGGAAAGACACCTACATACAAAGTTTCAAGTCTCTAGGTCAAACGGGGCGACGCATATGAGGGTTTAAGTGAGACTGCCTATAACAGCGCCACCTATAGGCCAATCGGTGCCATTCTTTTTGCCAAGTTACTCATGGCCTCTAGTTTCTGTGTGCCAAAATAGAAAAAAAAGTTAATCTATGCTTGACCTATTTGACCATGTCAAGGAAACAAATCATCGAAGAATAACAATAGGTGTGAACCCCTAATAAGTACTACACTGCTCAAAAAAATAAAGGGAACACTAAAATAACACATCCTAGATCTGAATGAATGAAATAATCTTATTAAATACTTTTTTCTTTACATAGTTGAATAGTAAAGTTGCTGACAACAAAATCACACAAAAATTATCAATGGAAATCACATTTATCAACCCATGGAGGTCTGGATTTGGAGTCACCCTCAAAATTAAAGTGGAAAACCACACTACAGGCTGATCCAACTTTGATGTAATGTCCTTAAAACAAGTCAAAATGAGGCTCAGTAGAGTGTGTGGCCTCCACGTGCCTGTATGACCTCCCTACAACGCCTGGGCATGCTCCTAATGAGGTGGCGGATGGTCTCCTGAGGGATCTCCTCCCAGACCTGGACTAAAGCATCCGCCAACTCCTGGACAGTCTGTGGTGCAACGTGGCGTTGGTGGATGGAGCGAGACATGATGTCCCAGATGTGCTCAATTGGATTCAGGTCTGGGGAACGGGCGGGCCAGTCCATAGCATCAATGCCTTCCTCTTGCAGGAACTGCTGACACACTCCAGCCACATGAGGTCTAGCATTGTCTTGCATTAGGAGGAACCCAGGGCCAACCACACCAGCATATGGTCTCACAAGGGGTCTGAGGATCTCATCTCGGTACCTAATGGCAGTCAGGCTACCTCTGGCGAGCACATGGAGGACTGTGCGGCCCCCCAAAGAAATGCCACCCCACACCATGACTGACCCACCGCCAAACCGGTCATGCTGGAGGATGTTGCAGGCAGCAGAACGTTCTCCACGGCGTCTCCAGACTCTGTCACGTCTGTCACATGTGCTCAGTGTGAACCTGCTTTCATCTGTGAAGAGCACAGGGCGCCAGTGGCGAATTTGCCAATCTTGGTGTTCTCTGGCAAATACCAAACGTCCTGCCCGGTGTTGGGCTGTAAGCACAACCCCCACCTGTGGACGTCGGGCCCTCATACCACCCTCATGGAGTCTGTTTCTGACCGTTTGAGCAGACACATGCACATATGTGGCCTATTGGAGGTCATTTTGCAGGGCTCTGGCAGTGCTCCTCCTGCTCCTCCTTGCACAAAGGCGGAGGTAGCAGTCCTGCTGCTGGGTTGTTGCCCTCCTACGGCCTCCTCCACGACTCCTGATGTACTGGCCTGTCTCCTGGTAGCGCCTCCATGCTCTGGACACTACGCTGACAGACACAGCAAACCTTCTTGCCACAGCTCGCATTGATGTGCCATCCTGGATGAGCTGCACTACCTGAGCCACTTGTGTGGGTTGTAGACTCCGTCTCATGCTACCACTGGAGTGAAAGCACCGCCAGCATTCAAAAGTGACCAAAACATCAGCCAGGAAGCATAGGAACTGAGAAGTGGTCTGTGGTCACCACCTGCAAAACCAGTCCTTTATTGGGGGTGTCTTGCTAATTGCCTATAATTTCCACCTGTTGTCTATTCCATTTGCACAACAGCATGTGAAATGTATTGTCAATCAGTGTTGCTTTCTAAGTGGACAGTTTGATTTCACAGAAGTGTGATTAACTTGGAGTTACATTGTGTTGTTTAAGTGTTCCCTTTATTTTTTTGAGCAGTGTATATTACCTGCATTGACAGTCAGAGACAGATATGCCATGTAGCAGGGGGTTCCTCTGTTTTCCACAGCACACACATACTCTCCTGTGTCCTGAGTCTGCAGGTTCTGCATGGTTGAAGTGAAGACATCCCGGCTCTCTGTGTCGCAGAGGAGAGTCAGTACGCACTATGGAAGCGCAATGTACAAAGAACAGATAGTGGAGAGAGACTGGCCCCTGTAGAGAGTGACCTGGCTGTCTGTCGTACTGTTCTTTGAGGAGAACAACCACATACAGTAAGCTCCAAAAGTATTGGGACAGTGACACATTTTTTGTTGTGTTGGCTCTGTACTGATTTGAAATGATACAATGACCGTGAGGTTAAAGATACAATGACTGTGAGGTTAAAGTGCAGACTGTTGCAGACACATAAATATAATACCCCCAAGACATGCTAACCTCTCACCATTACAATAACAGGGGAGGTTAGATATTTGGGGGGTATGATATTTGTGCGTCTGTAACTTTCCCACTCATCATTATTCACAATTCATTCAGGATTCTCCGTAATCATGGTAGCATCCACATTAATGTAGAAGTGTCCCTAAAACGGAGGGACTATGTACAAAAAGGTCTGTGATTTCTAAACGGTTCACCAGATGTGGATGAAAATACCCTCAGATTAAAGCTGACAATCTGCACATTAACTTCATAGCCATTGTATCATTTCAAATCCGAAGTCCTGGAGTACAGAGCCAAAAAAACAAATATGTGTAACTGTCCAAATACTTTTGGAGCTCATGTTGGCAGAGATTAGGCAAACTCATTAAGAACCAGAAGAGTGACAATCAAAATCTACACGGGTTTACTAACGTTACTCATGGGAGACATGATGATGAGATTCAGCTCTTCAATGGAAGTAATTATGATAAAGACTTGGATTGCTGTGGACAAAGATGAGATAATAAGAAGGACAGTGTTCATGCAGGACTGAGCAGGTTACCTAGTGGTGGCACATGGACAACCAGTTGTCCCCTGTCCTCTGCTGAGCTACAGATCTCCTGGCTGACATGTTCGGAGATCTCCTGCAGGCCTGAGAAGTTCTGGACGAAGAACACATTTTTGGCGCAACCAGATATTTTAATCAGACCCATCACTGATACATTGGCGCCCCCGATGGCATACAGAGACACTATGATTCTTCAGCTCCTCTAAAGAGACACTGTCATTCTCATGGAGCTCGCTGCCCATGATTACCAACCCAACCTTAGTCATTTGTTATCCTCTCACACCGTCCTTCCCCTCCCTGAGAAGCTCACTCATCATCTCCCGGTGTGGGTCAGTCTCTGTGGCGGAACCATTGGACTGTTTCAGATCCCAGATTTGCTTTAGGATCTCCCTGTTGTTGTTCAAGGAAGTGCTGACATTGAACGCAGCCACATCACTATGTCGACTGTATGGAACCAGGCCCACTTAACCTGGTCCTGCCCCAGGTAGAAGCAGCGCAGCAGTGATCTGAGGAAGTCTTTGATATGCTCAAACTCCTGAGCGCTGATGCTCTGGGATCTGTCATCCAGAACAATCATGATATTAATGGCAGCTCCCTGGGAACAGACTAACAGAACAAACATGAATTGCAAGTCTACCTAATTGTTTAAAACATAATTTATAGGTTTTTCCAGGACACCAATTAAGCCTAGTCCGGGACTAAAAAGCAAGATCAAAGGAAAATCTCCAGACAAAATGATTTCTAGTCCAGAACCGCTCTTTAGGATTATGTTGTAATATAGCAAAAATTATACACTGAGTGTCCAAAACAATAAGGACACCTTCCTAAAATTGAGTTGCCCTGTTCAAGGCGTTTAAATGTTTTGTCTTGCCCATTCACCCTCTGAATGGCACACATACACAATCCATGTCTCAATTGTGTCAAGGCTTAAAAATCCTTCTTTAACCTGTTTCCTACCATTCATATACACTGATTGAAGTGGATTTAACAAGTGGCATCAATAAGGGACCATAATTTTCACCTGGATTCACCTGTTCAGTCTATGTCATGGAAAGAGGAGGTGTCCTTAATGTTTTGTACACTCAGTGTATATGTTTAGAATACGGTACGAATGGAAATTCAAATTATCATCAACATTAATTTTAGGGGAAGGAAACCTGGATATACAGTTGAAGTCGGAAGTTTACATACACTTAGGTTGGAGTCATTAAAACTCATTTCTCAACCACTCCATAAACAAAGTATAGTTTTGGCAAGTCGGTTAGGACATCTACTTTATGCATGACACAAGTAATTTTTCCAACAATTGTTTACAGACAGATTATTTCACTTATAATTCATTGTATCACAATTCCAGTGGGTCCGAAGTTTACATACACTAAGTTGACTGTGCCTTTAAACAGCTTGGAAAATTCCAGAAAATGATGTCATGGCTTTAGAAGCTTCTCATAGGCTAATTGACATAATTTGAGTCAATTGGAGGTGTACCTGTGGATGTATTTCAAGGTCTACCTTCAAACTCGGTGCCTCTTTGCTTGACATCATGGGAAAATCAAAATAAATCAGTCAAGACCTCAGAAAAACAATTGTAGACCTCCACAAGTCTGGTTCATCCTTGGGAGCAATTTCCAAACGCCTGAAGGTACCACGTTCATCTGTACAAACAATAGTATGTAAGTATAAACACCATGGGACCACGCAGCCATCATACCGCTCAGGAAGGAGACACGTTCTGTCTCCTAGAGATGAACGTACTTTGGTGCGAAAAGTGCAAATCAATCCCAGAACAACAGCAAAGGACCTTGTGAAGATGCTGGATGAAACCGGTACAAAAGTGTCAATATCCACAGTAAAACGAGTCCTATATCGACATAACCTGAAAGGCCGCTCAGCAAGGAAGAAGCCACTGCTCTAAAACCACCATAAAAAAGCCAGACTACGGTTTGCAACTGCACATGGGGACAAAGATCGTACTTTTTGGAGAAATGTCCTCTGGTCTGATGAAACAAAAATAGAACTGTTTGGCCATAATGACCATCATTATGTTTGGAGGAAAAAAGGGAAGGCTTGCAAGCCGGAGAACACCATCCCAACCATGAAGCTCGGGGGTGGCAGCATCATGCTGTGGGGGTGCTTTGCTGCAGGAGGGACTGGTGCACTTCACAAAATAGATGGCATCATGAGGAAGGAAAATTATGTGGATATATTGAAGCAACATCTCACATCACGAAGTTAAAGCTTGGTCGCAAATGGGTCTTCCAAATGGACAATGACCCCAAGCATACTTCCAAAGTTGTGGCAAAATGGCTTAAGGACAGCAAAGTCAAGGTATCGGAGTGGCCATCCCAAAGCCCTGACCTCAATCCTATAGAAAATTTGTGGGCAGAACTGAAAAAGCGTGTGCGAGCAAGGAGGCCTACAAACCTGACTCAGTTACACCAGCTCTGTCAGCAGGAATGGGCCAAAATTTACCCAACTTATTGTGGGAAGCTTGTGGAAGGCTACCCGAAACGTTTGACCCAAGTTAAAGAATTTAAAGGCAATGCTACCAAATACTAATTGAGTGTATGTAAACTTCTGACCCACTGGGAATGTGATGAAAGAAATAAAAGCTGAAAGAAATAATTCTCTCTACTATTATTCTGACATTTCACATTCTTAAAATAAAGTGGCGATCCTAACTGACCTAAGACAGGGAATTTATACTAGGATTTAATGTCAGGAATTGTGAAAAACTGACTTTAAATATATTTGGCTAAGGTGTATGTAAACTTCCGACTTCAACTGTAAATACTACTCATTCACAATCCAGGCTGGTGTACAGTGCCTAGTGAAAGTCGACACACTCCTTGCAAAGTCTTCACATTTTGTTGCCATATAAATAAATCAAAACATTGATTAAAGTATATATTTTTCCTACCGATGTACACAACCTACACTTTAAAAGTGAAAGAAAGATTCTATAAATTGTATTTCTTTATTTTTTTAACGAAGATGTCTTGATTGTGTATGTCTTCACACCATCCCCAAGTCCAGAATAGACTCTGGGAAACGCACAGTACTACATAGAGTCATGACTACATGTAACTCTATTCCACATCAAGTAACTTAAGCAAGTAGTAAAATCAGATTTAAAAAACAGATAAAACTACACCTTATGGAACAACGCGGACTATGAAGAGACACACACAGGCACACACACACACATGCATATGCACACACGTTAACACACGCACTTACATTGTAATGTTGTAATATTGTTGTATTGTGGTATTATACATTTTGTATTGTAGATATATAGTGGTAGAGTAGTGGTGTAAAACAAAAACAAAAATTTTGGGGGGGGTGTAAATGCCTTAATCTTGTTTGGACCCCCGGAAGAATAGCTGCTGCCTTGGCAGGAACTAATGGGGATCATTAATAAATACAAATACTCCCCAGAATTAATACTTGGCAGAAGCACCTTTAGCAGCCATTACAGCTGTGACTCATTTTGAATAAGGTTCTACCAACTTTGCACAACTCTCAGGGCAACATATATCCATAATTTTTGTCCAAACTGCTCAAGCTCAGTACATTTGTTTGGGAGTAATTGATGGACAGTGATATTCAAATCTTGTCTGAGATTTTTAAAGCAGATTTATGTCCGGACTGAGGTTGGACCATTCAGGAACACTCAACAGCTATTGCAAAGCCATCCTGGTGTGTCTTTAGCATTAAACATTTGTGTAATTGACTCGCTGAGGGGAAAAAAAAACTACATCCCAGGGTTAGGTATTCAGAAGACTGAGGCAGGGTTTCCTCTCACTTTCTATCTGGGCTTTGCTCCTTTCATACTTATTTTGATCCTGACACACTCCCCAGTCCCTGCCGGTGACAAGCATACCCATAACACTATACTGCCACCACAAAACTTGAAAATACAGAGGATCAACAAAATTGCATTCAGTCCACATTACTGGCCTGTATGACAAAGTGAAAAGAAGGAAGCATGTGTTAAAACATCATCCATTCTGTTTGCAACAAGGCCGTTAAGTAATACTGCAAGACAACATGGCAAAGAAATGTCCTTTAAAAACTACAGGATTGGGTCAAATTCAGTACTACTTTTTATTTGGTATTAATTTGTATTTTATTTATTATTATTATTATTTATAGGTTGTGTAGATCGGTAGGAGAAACATCTAATTTATTCCCTTTTTGGATTTAATTTTAAGGCAGCAAAATGTGAAGACTGTGCAAGGGGTGTGTAGACTTTCACTAGTGACTTTAAGTACATGTCGGATTGTTGTACACCCTCTCCTCTGCCAGCATTGCACTCCATGTCTTCAAATGCATAAAAAAATAGCACATTCTCTGGATTGCCAGTGATCTTGAACAGATCTTGCTTTGAAGTGCTTCAATACCAATGGCCATGAAAGAAACATCATGTTTCCTCAGCAGCTTTGCTGACCTTTCCATGTCAAAGGGATCAGTGGCTTGTCCATCTGTGATGACCATCCCAATCTGGGGAACACCCTCACTTTCCCTGCTGCCTTTACCCTTCTGAAACAGAGCCATCATAGACTGCAAGGCCTTTCCACTATATGTGTTACCTCCCAGTTGTAGAACAGCGTATACGGTATACCCTTCAGGATTTCCCTTCTGTTCATATGGTCATTGAGCCTGAACACAACGTGTGGTGAGTTACTATACTTTATCAGGCCAATTCTGATATGGTCGGTGCCCGCAAAAAAAGCATGCACCAGGGTATCCAGAAACTTCTTCATAATCATAAAGCGTTTTGGTGGTATGCTAAAAGAGTCCTCCATAAGTATAACAACATCAGCCTTCACTCCCTGTGGGCAGACTGAAAAAAGGGTAGACTTGATGATAGTGTAACATTACAAATGAACTAAATATAGTAAAACTATTGAAAATGATTATATATTGTACTACCTTCTCCCTGAGATTCTGCCACTTTGATGTGGTAGACAATAAGCAGAAAGACAAATGTCAATTTGGCCCCCACTTTCACACTTTTGTTGAAAGACAATTTCAGAAATTGTTATTTATTGTGCAACTAGACAAACTCCAATATATTTATTACAATAACTCCTATTTTATTACTTAATATAACACTATATCATTACTATGACTACTAATAACCATTTAATAAGTGTTGTTATATTACTTACCTGAGTCATCAAGAAACACAAAATATAAAGATCTCCACTTTTTGCAAGCAATTGTCACTCACTCTCAGATTTGACTGTTCATCCCTTAGTATGCAGGTCGTGGGAGACACAAACCTTCTCTGCCAGCAAAGTACTAATGTCCTTCCTCAGATCACAGCTCTTATTGTCATATGAAAGTATAATTGCCATGGTAACACAACAGGCATGCACACACACAAAGAAGGATGCACAAATGATGTGTGTGTGAGATTACACAGCATTATCATTATCATCACTTAACTACACTACATGACCAAAAGTATGATTCATTCATCGGACTGCCAGATGGTGAAGCGTGATTCATCACTCCAGAAAACGAGTTTCCACTGCTACAGAGTCCAATGCCGGTGAGCTTTACACCACTCCAGCCGACGCTTGGCATTGCGCATGGTGATCTTAGGCTTGTGTGTGTGGCTGCTCGGCCATGGAAACCCATTTCTTGAGGCTCCCGACGAACAGTTCTTGTGCTGATGTTGCTTCCAGAGGTAGTTTGGAACTCGGTAGTGAGTGTAGCTACGCGCTTCAGCACCTGGCGGTCCAGTTCTGTGAGCTTGTGTGGCCTACCACTTCGTGGCTGAGACTTTGTTGCTCCTAGACGTTTCCACTTCACAATAACAGCACTTACAGTTGACCGGGGCAGCTCTAGCAGGTCAGAAATGTGACAATCTGACTTTTTGGAAAGGTGGCATCCTATGACAGTGCCACGTTGAAAGTCACTGAGCTCTTCAGTAAGGCAATTCTACTGCCTATGTTTGTTTATGGAGATTGCAAGGCTGTGTGCTCGATTTTATACACCTGTCAGCAACGGCTGTGGCTGAAATGGCCGAATCCACAAATTTTAAGGGGTGTCCACATACTTTTGTATATATAGTGTATTTCCTGTGAAATTCTCATAAATGAACAAAAAACCTGCTATGGTCCAACACTTGTGGTAAAAAGGACCCACTAGTTCAGTTGGTTACAATAGTAAGTTGGATGTAGAATATGCATTGGTGTATCTAGACCATGCACTCTCAATTCACACTATTTTGAAAGCCTGACAGTATTGGATTTCCAGGTCTCCTGCTGTGTACAGAAACACATGTCAATGGTGCTACTGCTCAATTTGTTTTCCATTTGCAAGTCCACCGGTGTCTCTGTCAAGGTCACTAATACCCCCATCGATTTTTCCCCAACATCTGCTAACCTTTTAAAAGTGCCCCAAAATCGTATTGACTTTCTCATCCCCTCAAAAAGCCATTCACACTGGCAGACTCCAATGATTATTTCCAAATGAACAGAACATGTTTTGATGGGTATATGTGAAAAGCCCTGCCATTTCTGGTTGTTTATGTTTAGGAAAATGCTGCTAATTCTGTTTATGACAATAATGTTGCAGAAAATAGCCATCTATACAGATTCCATCCTCTCTATCGAGCCTTGTGCATCCACACCCGGCACCTGGCTACCACTGGACCTCATGAGTAGGGCCCTGTGTTTTGGACAATCATGTCACATGACCTGGATTATTTATTTCAAACATTTTATATAACGTTTTCCATACAGACAAAACCAACAATAACATGGAGCAATCAACATATACAAAATACAGACACAGAATAAAAGTTATAATAGGTGAAGTAGAAAATAATGTCACTGTATTCCACAGTTCTTATTTTTGACAAATGTGCTTCCATGATAAAGAAAAAGCTTATTTCAATGTTATAATAATTTCCCACCCCTCTCCCTAGTCCCCTTCCCACCCAAACAAATTATTAAAAGTACTGAATTCCAATGGTACCAAAACAGCAACACCCAGATGCTTGATGGGTTATGGGTTGGCAATTTCTGCTGGAGGACATGTCAGTCTTTCCAGAGGAAACAACCACAACAAATGTCCCTTTTCACCTCTTTCCAGTAATCTTTAACAATGGGACAGTACCAGATGAGATGTGCATAAGTACCTTTGTGCTGTTTACATTTGGGACATTCCCCAAAACATGCAGGGTCATATTTACTTCTGAGGTGTAGTTTGTAACTTATGTATAATTTTAAACTGTAGCTCATGAGATGTGTAGGAACAACATATTTTCTTTGCATTGGTAAGAATAGCTTCCTATTCACAATTATCGATGGTCACCCCAAAGTCTTGCTGCCATACACGTTTGCTGCTATCTGTGTTGATCTTGCCTATAGTAAAAAGACTGCTGTATATGTAGCATATGTTCTTCTTTTTAAAGGAGCTAACTTATGTTCCAGGTTATTAAGGCCAGATCCCTCCTTGTAAAAGGAAATTGAATTGATAAAGCTTCGAAGCTGAAAGAAACTGTAAAACTGTGAATGTGGTCAACCATATTCTTGATTGGGAGCCATTGTAAAACAAATAATTCAGTGTCGTAATTCCAGCTTTGTACCAATTCTTAAAACCACCGTCTGCACATGAAGGAGGAAAGAAAGGATTGTTAACAATGTGAGCACAGAATGAGTATCTACATGTCATATGAAAAACTGCTTTTGCAGTATTCCATGATTTCATCGTGTTCGTGACAAATGAAAATAATATTATCCTATAGGCTTTTATCTTGAGATATTTCCCCCAAAAAATGTTTATCTGACAGAGATACCAACCCACAACCCTCCGATTCCAGATCCAACCATGTTGACTTTGGGTGTTGCTCAATCCACTCAAAAAATATCTTAAGTTGTGTTGACCAGTGATAGTACTGAAAGTTATGCTAACCTCACTTCTTGATTGGCAGTTGGAGTTCTTCTAACCCTTTTCCCCCCTTCTTTATTGTTATTCGACTCTAACCTTTATTTAAAGCTTTTGCATCAAACTGTCTCCTTTTCTTTTTATGCCAGATGGTCCAGCACCATCCTCAGACAATTGCTTTCATTTTTGGTGTAATTCTCATTTCTGGAAAAGGCTTAAAATAAAGGTTAAAATCTAGGTCATGTGACATGATAGTCCAAAACACAGGGCCCTACTCATGAGACCAATAGCTCAGGACACACAGCTCACTTCTAGGTGCAGTGAGAATGGGGTAAATGCATTGCATATACACCACATATCCTTTCCTTGAAGATAAGTGATCAGAGGGAACAACAAAAATATATTGTGTACTGTAAGCAATGAGGTAAGAATTAGTTGCTCTGGCCACATTAAGGAATGTGTACTAGTACTCCTGTAAAAACGGCACAAGTTCAACAGCTCTGCATTCAGTGTCTTACCCATAGTGGTGTCTGTACTGGGTTCTTCCTTCTATTTTGACAATAATGTTAAAGACTTGAAGAAAGGCTGAGGTAGTCATACTCTATGAATAAATATATTAACTCAATAATATAAAATAATCTCATACAAGTTTCCCAATTTTTTTCATGACACGTTAAATCATAACAAAACAACCACAGTTCAATACTGTTTTAATACTGTTTTAAATATTTGTTCCTTAATTTTACAAAATGTCTGTTCTCCAAATGTCTCCAAGATGCTTATTTGAATAGAAGGAAATGCATAGATATCAATCTTACATACATTTCAATTCAATGTGCATTGAACATATTGTGATTGAGGGATTAAAAAAACTAGATCATGTTGAAATAATTGTTCAATCTTTCTTGGATAGTTTATGACTGTACATATTTGTATTCACAACTTAATAGGTTCCTCCAAGGGATCTGAGGTTGCAATATGCCATTGTGAGTTACGGATTTTTTTGAACCCTAATTTTGTTTAGCTACAGTGGGGAAAAAAAGTATTTAGTCAGCCACCAATTGTGCAAGTTCTCCCACTTAAAAAGATGAGAGAGGCCTGTAATTTTCATCATAGGTACACGTCAACTATGACAGACAAATTGAGATTTTTTTTTCCAGAAAATCACATTTGCAAATTATGGTGGAAAATAAGTATTTGGTCACCTACAAACAAGCAAGATTTCTGGCTCTCACAGACCTGTAACTTCTTCTTTAAGAGGCTCCTCTGTCCTCCACTCGTTACCTGTATTAATGGCACCTGTTTGAACTTGTTATCAGTATAAAAGACACTTGTCCACAACCTCAAACAGTCACACTCCAAACTCCACTATGGCCAAGACCAAAGAGCTGTCAAAGGACACCAGAAACAAAATTGTAGACCTGCACCAGGCTGGGAAGACTGAATCTGCAATAGGTAAGCCGCTTGGTTTGAAGAAATCAACTGTGGGAGCAATTATTAGGAAATGGAGGACATACAAGACCACTGATAATCTCCCTCGATCTGGGGCTCCACGCAAGATCTCACCCCGTGGGGTCAAAATGATCACAAGAACGGTGAGCAAAAATCCCAGAACCACACGGGGGGACCTAGTGAATGACCTGCAGAGAGCTGGGACCAAAGTAACAAAGCCTACCATCAGTAACACACTACGCCGCCAGGGACTCAAATCCTGCAGTGCCAGACATGTCCCCCTGCTTAAGCCAGTACATGTCCAGGCCCGTCTGAAGTTTGCTAGAGTGCATTTGGATGATCCAGAAGAGGATTGGGAGAATGTCATATGGTCAGATGAAACCAAAATATAACTTTGAGTGAAAACCTCCTTCCATCAGCAAGGGCATTGAAGATGAAACGTGGCTGGGTCTTTCAGCATGACAATGATCCCAAACACACCGCCCGGGCAACGAAGGAGTGGCTTCGTAAGAAGCATTTCAAGGTCCTGGAGTGGCCTAGCCAGTCTCCAGATCTCAACCCCATAGAAAATCTTTGGAGGGAGTTGAAAGTCCGTGTTGTCCAGCGACAGCCCCAAAACATCACTGCTCTAGAGGAGATCTGCATGGAGGAATGGGCCAAAATACCAGCAACAGTGTGTGAAAACCTTGTGAAGACTTACAGAAAACGTTTGACCTGTGTCATTGCCAACAAAGGGTATATAACAAAGTATTGAGAAACTTTTGTTATTGACCAAATACTTATTTTCCACCATAATTTGCAAATAAATTCATAAACAATCCTACAATGTGATTTTCTGGATTTTTTTTCTCATTTTGTCTGTCATAGTTGACGTGTACCTATGATGAAAATTACAGGCCTCTCTCATCTTTTTAAGTGGGAGAACTTGCACAATTGGTGGCTGACTAAATACTTTTTTTCCCCACTGTATTGATATGGAGATTTATGCAGGTATGCAGGATTCGCTTCCCCAGTGTTGCCAATTTAGCGACTTTGTCGCTATATTTAGCGAGTTTTCAGACCCCTCTAGCGACACATTTTCAAAAAAGTGACTAGCGACAAATCTAGCGACTTTTTCTGGTGTTATTGGAGACTTTAGGAGACTCTGACGTGAAAGCATATATCGTTCTTACTCTTCTCAATGAGCAGCGGGTGCTGCCGTGGGCCCTACCCCTTGGGCCCCACTCCCCGCTCAACGAGCAGCGGGTGCTGCCGTGGGCCACACCCCTGTCCCAAAGCACTCACAGGCAGCCCAGTCCTCGCGCAGCAGTCCCTCCCAGCTGCAGTCTGAGCAGAAGATGTTCACCCCTCCGCGTCCAGACTGCAAATGAATCGCGGATGCGGCAAGCCGCCGCTGGCTGATCCCGCCCTGGCTTACATTCAGGGCGGGATATAGGGTGTTTTTTTACTCTCTTTTTGTCTCCCACAATGTTATTCCTCTCTCCTACAGCGTCCATCAAAATTACATGCACATGGCAAATTATGCAAATTAGGTGATGACGTCTTTTAGCAACTTCTAGCGACTTTTAGGACAGCCAATAGCTACTTTACTTACTGAGGAGTTGGCAACACTGTCTGAGGAGTTGGCAACACTGCGCTTCCCCCTCCTAGTCCTTTCAGCTGCTGTTCAGTGCTCACTCCCTCCGTGACTCTGCTGCCTCTTGTACATGAAAAACAGTTAGAACAAATGTAGTTCTTTGTCTGTTGTAACAGTAATCTATTGCAACCATAAGCACGACACAACAGGCAGTCTAGCGATTTCATGTTCTTTTCTCAGGAGGGGAGTTAGCCTACATGCAGTTACAGTGCCTTGCAAAAGTATTCATCCCCCTTGGCGTTCTTCCTATTTTGTTGCATTACAACCTGTAATTTAAATGGATTTTAATTTGGATTTCATGTAATGGACATACACAAAATAGTCCAAATTGGTGAAGTGAAATGAAAAAAATAACTTATTTCAAAAAATTCTAAAAAACAAATAACGGAAAAGTGGTGCGTGCATATATTCACCCCCTTTGCTAAGAATCCCCTAAATAAGATCTGGTGCAACCAATTACCTTCAGAAGTCACATAATTAGTTAAATAAAGTCCACCTGTGTGCAATCTAAGTGTCACATGATCTGTCACATGATCTCAGTATAAAAACACCTGTTCTGAAAGGCCCCAGAGTCTGCAACACCACTATGCAAGGGGCACCACCAAGCAAGCGGCACCATGAAGACCAAGGAGCTATCCAAACAGGTCAAGGACAAAGTTGTGGAGAAGTACAGATCAGGGTTGGGTTATAAAAGAATATCAGAAACTTTGAACATCCCACGGAGCACTATTAAATCCATTATTAAAAAATTGAAATAATATGGAACCACAACAAACCTGCCAAGAGAGGGCCGCCCATCAAAACTCACAGACCAGGCAAGGAGGGCATTAATCAGAGAGGAGACAATGAGACCAAAGATAACCCTGAAGGAGCTGCAAAGCTCCACAGCGGAGATTGGAGTTTCTGTCCATATGTCCACATTAATCCGTACACTCCACAGAGCTGGGCTTTACGGAAGAGTGCCCAGAAAAAAGCCATTGCTTCAAGAAAAAAATAAGCCACAAGGCATGTGGGAGACTCCCCAAACATATGGAAGAAGGTACTTTGCTCAGATGAGACTAAAATTGAGCTTTTTGGCCATCAAGGAAAACGCTATGTCTGGTGCAAACCCAACACCTCTCATCACCCCGAGAACACCATCCCCACAGGGAAGCATGGTGGTGGCAGCATCATGCTGTAGGGATGTTTTTCATCGGCAGGGACTAGGAAACTGGTCAGAACTGAAGGAATGTTGGATGGCGCTAAATACAGGGACATTCTTGAGGGAAACCTGTTTCAGTATTCCAGATATATGAGACTGGGACGGAGGTAGCATACTGCTAAAGCAACCATCAAGTGGTTTAATGGGAAACATTTAAATGTCTTGGAAAGTCAAAGCCCAGACCTCAATCCAATTGAGAATCTGTGGTATGACTTAAAGATTGCTGTACACCAGCGGAACCAGCGGGGGGGGGGTGTTGAATAGTTATGCACGCTCAAGTTTTAAATTTTTTTGTCTTACCTCTTGTTTGTATCACAATAAAAAATATTTTGCATCTTCAAAGTGGTAGGCATGTTGTGTAAATCAAATGATACAAACCCCCCAAAAAATCTATTTTAATTCCAGGTTGTAAGGCAACAAAATAGGAAAAATGCCAAGGGGGGTGAATACTTTCGCAAGCCACTGTATTTTAGCAAGCTATATGTATGCAGCATATCAAACAAGCAAGACACAGACAGGCAGTCAATAGCGATTTTATGTGCTAACATTGGCTATTGGGAGGCAGAGTTCTTTTTGCAGTAACTCTGGCTATATGGTAGCATAACTATTAAGATTGTCATCACACAAAACCCTGATAGTTTTGCCCCAATGCAATGTGTAGACTGCGTCTTGCTTGTGCTAAGCACGTCAATATCCATAACAACAGACAGAAGGTTGTAGCCTTCATATTATTTTTTTTTCAGCAGTTCATTAATATGAGGCAAATTGGTTGAGGGTTCAGAAAAGGGTGAGTAAAGCATAGACTAAAGAGAGAAACGTGTGTGTGTGTAAAATAACACATGCACAGAACGTGATTTGGATCCTTTGGTTAGAGAAATATGTTTCCAGAGGAGCGGGAACAGGGCGGGGGGCGAAAACTCCGTATTCGTAGCCTCTGCCAAATATTTTTTATAGATCCTAAGACAGTACATTGACCTACGACCTATCATAAACAATCTGCTACAATGATCTGTTTTGAGTATGGGCGATGCACAGTGCCTATGCATTGTACTATAAACTGACACTGACACAGGCAATATATCGCAGATGATCCATCATATCAGTGAAGTACTTGTAGTGTATTTGAGGTTTTAAAAGGCTTCTGAAGTTTGTAATTTCCACTTTGAAATTCAAGACCCCTACAAAAATGTCCATTATTTATAATTTACATAATAATTCACATATCCTGTTGCTGCAGGATTATTTTCCTGCTATAGCAAACTGGCTCAAATTAACATTTACATTTACATTTTAGTCATTTAGCAGACGCTCTTATCCAGAGCGACTTACAGTTAGTGAATACATTTTTTTTTTTTTTATACTGGCCCCCCGTGGGAATCAAACCCACAACCCTGGCGTTGCAAACGCCATGCTCTATCAACTGAGCTACATCCCTGCCGGCCATTCCCTCCCCTACCCTGGACGACGCTGGGCCAATTGTGCGCCGCCCATGAGTCTCCCGGTCGCGGCCGGCTGCGACAGAGCCTGGATTCTAGTGGCACAGTTAGCACAGCGATGCAGTTCCTTAGACCACTGCGCCACTCAGGAGTACATCCTATATCTGTATATTACCTCATATGTCTCATAGCCAAGTTCGAAACAAAGTGTTGTAGACGTAGGGGTAAACACATGGAAATCACACCAAGTAACACTTGATTTGGTATTACACTGAACTATTCTTTCACATTTCACTGAAAATAACAGTGAAAATCTTTTTCTAAATAGCACATTTACAAGTATACAGTACCATTCAGCTCTATAATTGGCAGAGACATGAAGTACTGATAAGATTGGAGATTGCCTCCCAGTCCTAGGAGCATCTGCACCTCTGCTATTCATACCAGAATGTAGTAGCAACAACACAACAAATATATCTACAACAAGTAGTATTTTAATATTACAGTATATGTAGATTCACTTCTGATATGTAAATACAAACACTTGGTTTTACCCTCTAAGTGGAAGTTTCAACCTTGGCACATAGATAGAAGGATTTGATGTATCTAAAACAAAACATAGGGATATCAGTAATCAATATTGTTCTATAATGTTTGAAAAACAAAGACCAAAGTGAGTATCTAAAAAAAGGGGTTGTCACTCCTATTCATGGCTGAGCTATGTACACAACATTCCACAATGTCTGAGAAAAAATCCACATCCATTTGCAGTAGTCTTCTCACTCCAGTGACTCCCAGCCAGCCATACGTTGCATCACTAGCAAGACTGGGTCTCTATGCGAGGTTGGACAGACTGCCGCTTGGGGCACAGTATCTTAGCAAAAGCCCTTCGGAAGCTGCTGTGGCAGAGAGGGTAAAGGAAAGGGTTAATACCAGAGTTTAGCCACAAGAGCCAAAAAGTAATCTCGTACCAGTAGTGCTCCACACATCGCCCGCTACAGGCCGCTCGTATTATCATCAATAGGGTGTAAGGTGCCCAGCAGATCCCGAAAATGCACACTATAATGGCCAGCGACTTGGCAATCTTCTTGTCGCGGGAGAGGCGGGAGCCCTCTGAGCTCCTGCTGGAGGGCCCAGTGGGGGCCTGGAATTGGAGGAGCCTGGAAGTTTTCCTGCAGGAAGGGCCCTTCTTTCTCTGAATGAAGGTGTGACCGCTGATGGGCTCCCCACAGGAGGACGGCGACAGCTCCTCGTCCTCCTCTATCACCTCTGAAACAGTGGCTGGCTCGCTCGATGATACCTTGCGAGTCTTGACAAAAAACACAGACAAGGTAGCACCCCCGTCCTTGAGACTGCCCCTGTCCCTGCATGCCTTGGTGTCCTCTTTATGGATAGCCCTGCTCTTGTTCCTCCGCTGGATGTTCAGGTAGATGCACAGGTTGAAGAAGGCCACAGAGATAAAGGGGGTGAAGAACTCAAACGTAGACGCACTGAGTAGGAAGTACCAGGTGCAGTAGAACTCAGCGAAACACTCGTCGGCAGGGACAATGCTTTTACCCACGACCAGCTCCCAGAAGATGATGGCAGGGCCATAGAGAAGGAAGGCCAACACCCACACAGCCACCATCTTCACCACAGCATGGTGGGTCATGCTCTGCTGAGCTCTATATTTCACCTGGAAGTAGAGAAGTGAAGTGAGAAAAATAGCAAACAATACCTCACAATAACATTTAATCATAATATCACCATAAAAAAATATGATAATACAGACTTAATAATCTGCATTATCAATTCCATATCTCTCAATTTGTAGAGGTGTATTGGATCCATTACATTAAGGCATTATTTGGACCTATGGGGGAGGTATTATTTCCTTGGGTGATAGGGTTCAAGAGCCCCTCCTCCATGGTGTCAGTGAAGCCAGAGGAGCCAGAGGAGCAGGCGAGCTTTAGGCTGATACTGAATAATAATACAGGAGAGTGTGGAGGAGGCACATCTGTCTGTCTGCTCTCTCCCTCTCATCATCGCCACTCTTCACCCAGGAATTAGATTTTCTCCTTCCATTTCCATTTCACCGTATCTCTCTGTTTGCTTTGTTTATCTTCACCTCCCTTTCTCTGTCCCCAATTCCCCACCTACCTCTCAGTCTGTCGCAGTCTTTTTCCTGGCTATCAAATGAACAACAATTGCTGAGATGATGTCATCAACATCAATGTCATCAAACTGAACAACTTGACTTTGTTGTTTATCATGGCTGTGTCTAGGTATACAGATATTATATTGACTTTGCTGTCAATCATGGAGACTGTGAGCACTAACAAGATCAAACATGCACTCTACAGACAGGGGTTATTTTCCATCATTGTAACTCATTACCAAACACTACATGCAGCACTGTACTGTACTTGCTTTATTATGTATTAATATGTATTCATTGTTAATCAGGGAACCAGAAAGATATTCCGCTAGAAAACTTTGCAACCACTGCAAAGTAACCTTTTAAACTTTGTTGAATGTTTGAATGTAAAAAAACACTATATTTTTTAATGATAAAATATTGTGTGACACATTCACTTATGCGGCTCCAGATAAAGTATAGTGACCCTTTACGGACCCAAAATCGAGAACCTACTGATACCTACCAGTCACTGAGATGTTCTGCATGTTCTCTACTATACATGTAGAGACTTTGAATATCTACGTCAACATATTGCATAAAAATAGCTTTAATGCTATCTGCATTTCATTCCTCTCTCAGGAAGCCACTGTGCTGATAGACAAATGACCGAAACAGAAAATACATTGAAGAGACACATTCTAAGAATGTTTGATGTAATATCAATATTCCACAGAAAAATCGGACTATTTTGCATTAGTCTTCAAATCAAACAAAGTCAAACAAGTTCAAGTGACCTAGCCGTTAACAGTGTTAGGCCAGTAACCGAAAGGTCGCTGGTTCGAATCCCTGAGCCGACTAGGTAAATAATCTGTTGATGTGCCTTTGAGCAAGGCACTTTTCCCTAATTGCTCCTGTAAATTTCTCTGGATAAAAGCGTCTGCTAAATGACATAAAATGTAAATGTAAAACTACAAAGAGCATCGATTAAAATGTGCTTTGTTTGACTTGTGAAAGTACACAGCAGCATTTACATTAGGACATAACTGGTTGACTTGCCTCCCTGAGCATGCTTCATCAAAGTTTCTCCTCAGACTTGCATTAAAAGTAATGTTGTTGTTTCCATGTCCTTTGGTAAACTTTTTGTAATGACTGCCTGTTGCATGAACCCATGGGTTCATTAATCAGTATATTCTGTCTGGGTGGGCGAGTGCGTAAATGCTAATAATTCATATTAAATTCCACAAGGAAATTAACTACAGCAGTTACAAAGTGACAAAACCCTTCTAGGGTCACAATAAGGTGCCAGTCTTGCTGGTGCCGTGTAAGAAATATCAATATTTGTATTTCATAACTCTGTCATGAACAATATTGCAGAAAAAAAAAACAGGACTAGTAAAGGCCAAGTGCACAACTTTTGTTAAAATATTTTAACAAAATGTACAGTATTAGTGTGTTTACCAGCATTTGTAACTTGAGTCTGATAATTATCTGTACTAAACAGTTAATCTGATAATACTTGTGGAATATAAAAATACTTACTTGATATACACTACCGTTGAAAAGTTTGGGGTCACTTAGAAATGTCCTTGTTTTCGAAAGAAAAGCAAAAAAATTTGTCCATTAAAATAACATCAAATTGATCAGAAATACAGTGTAGACATTGTTAATGTTGTAAATGGCTATTGTAGCTGGAAACGGCTGATTTTCTATGGAATATCTACATATGCGTACAGAGGCCCATTATCAGCAACCATCAGTCCTGTGTTCCAATGGCATGTTGTGTTTGCTAATCCAAGTTTATCATTTTAAAAGGCTAATTGATAATTAGAAAACACTTTTGCAATTATGTTAGCACAGCTGAAAACTGTTGTGCTGATTAAAGAAGCAATAAAACTGGCCTTCTTGAGACTAGTTGAGTATCTGGAGCATCAGCAATGGTGGGTTCGATTACAGGCTCAAAATGGCCAGAAACAAATAACTTTCTTCTGAAACTCGTCAGTCTATTCTTGTTCTGAGAAATGAAGGCCATTCCATGCGAGAAATTGCCAAGAAACTGAAGATCTCGTACAACGCTGTGTACTACTCCCTTCACAGAACAGCGCAAACTGCAAAGAAAAAGCCATATCTCAGACTGGCCAATAAAAATAAAAGATTAAGATGGGCAGTCTGAGATATGGCTTTTTTTTTGCAACTCTGACTAGATGGTCAGCATCCCGGAGTCGCCTCTTCACTGTTGACGTTGAGACTGGTGTTTTGCGGGTACTATTTAATGAAGCTGCCAGTTGAGGACCTGTGAGGCGCCTGTTTCTCAAACTAGACACTCTAATGTATTTGTCCTCTTGCTCAGTTGTGCACTGGGGCCTCCCACTTCTCTTTCTATTCTGGTTAGAGCCAGTTTGCGCTGTTCTATGAATGGAGTAGTACACAGCGTTGTACGAGATCTTCAGTTTCTTGGCAATTTCTCGCATAGAATAGCCTTCATTTCTCAGAACAAGAATAGACTGACGAGTTTCAGAAGAAAGTTATTTGTTTCTGGCCATTTTGAGCCTGTAATCGAACCCACCATTGCTGATGCTCCAGATACTCAACTAGTCTCAAGAAGGCCAGTTTTATTGCTTCTTTAATCAGCACAACAGTTTTCAGCTGTGCTAACATAATTGCAAAAGTGTTTTCTAATTATCAATTAGCCTTTTAAAATGATAAACTTGGATTAGCAAACACAACGTGCCATTGGAACACCAGGACTGATGGTTGCTGATAATGGGCCTCTGTACGCCTATGTAGATATTCCATTAAAAATCAGCCGTTTCCAGCTACAATAGCCATTTACAACACTAACAATGTCTACACTGTATTTCTGATCAATTTGATGTTATTTTAATGGACAAAAAAAAACATTTTCTTTCGAAAACAAGGACATTTCTAAGTGACCCCAAACTTTTGAACGGAAGTTTCTTGAAATACTTTGAAATGCAACTTATGTCTGTGAAAACTGAAAGGGTCTATTCATTCCTTTTCCATTTCAGTAGTCACTCTTATCCAGAGCAACTTACAGTAATGAGTGCATACATTTTCATACTTTTTTGTACTGTTCCCCCATGGGAATCGAACCCACAACCCTAGCATTGCAAGTGCCATGCTCTACCAACTGAGCCACATCATCACATCACATCACATCATCACAAACCACTTGATGTCTGAATGTACTCAATTACTGTAGTGTGCATTGCTTTTCTTCATGGTGATGGAAAGTCTACAGGTACAAACCTATATGACCAGCCTATGTACAATGCAATAATATACATTTACATTAAGTGTTTTGTAAGGATGGTAAATTAATACTGCACAAAAAGTGGTTGTTTTCTATGTTATTTGATGAAAAAATGTATACACTCACTAACTGTAAGTCACTCTGGATAAGATCATCTGCTAAATGACTAAAATGCAAATGTAAAATGTAATGAAGAAAAATATTTAATTTGATGCAGATGTTTTTTGTCTTTGCCCAAAGCTTTGCACCTTTTGATGTAAATGTTTGAGGACAGGGTTTTGTTCTTTCTGGATTCCATTAGAATGACAGTCACAGAGAAAGGGACAGGGCAACAACTCTTACAATTCCAACTACTGAATCCTGCAAGATAATGTTCTTAATTATAAACTGGGTGGTTCGAGCCCTGAATGCTGATTGGCTGAAAGTCGTGGTATATCAAACTGTATACCACGAGTATGACAAAACATGTATTTTTACCCTTCTAATTACGTTGGTAAGCAGTTTATAATAGCAATAAGGCACCTCGGGGGTTTGTGGCATATGGCCTATATACCACGTTGCGTCTTGCCTAAGAACAGCCCTTAGCCGTGGTTCTATTGGCCATATACCACAACCCCTCGGGCTTTATTGCTTAATTATACAACTACCTTTTTTGGCAAAGTGGAGATGCTGAAAAAATGTGTTTGCCCACGCTACAGACATCTATATCGGTCCAGTAATACTAGTAAAGGCCCAGTGCATTACTTTTGTGATTTTTAAAACTGTATTATTATTAGTTTATTCTGATTTTTCAGGCGGTGTGGCAGCACCCTCAGCACCCCTACATCCCGTGACTATGGATGCTACCATGATTACGGATCATGAATAATGATGAGTGAGAAAGTTACAGAGGTATAAATATCATACCCCCCGCAAAAATGCTAGTCTCCCCTGTTATTGGTAATGGTGAGAGGTTAGCATGTTTTGGGGGCATGATCTTTGTGCATCTGTAACTTTTTCAATCATAATTATTCACAATTAATTCATGATTATCCATAATTATGGTAGCATCAACATTAATTTAGGCATGTTCAGAAACATATTGTATACAATAAAAGTGACTCCAAAATGACACAATACAATATTTACCATTAATTTATATTGGGCACAACATAATCTGAAACACAACCAAAACAAACTGCAAATACATCCAACAAATTTGTAGAGTCACAAGCTTGATATAGTCATTGTGTGCTAGGAATATGGGACCAAATAGTCAACTTTTGATAAACTGTAATACACTATAAGTGAATTTGTCCAAATACTTATGACACCTTCAAATAGGGGGACTAGATACAAGTGCATTCATTTCTAAACTGTAAAACAGATGTGTATGAAAATACCCTCAAATAAAAGGTGATATTCTGTACTGTCCCCTCATATAAAACATTTAATCTCAAATCCAAAATGCTTGAGTATAGAGACAAATTAAAAGTTTTAGCTTCACTGACCCCCCAAAAAACATAGGGGGTATAATCTTTTTTACCTTTATTTATCCAGGAAGTTGAGGTCTTTTAGAAGGGAGACCTGAATACGATAGATAAAGCAATGTCCAGTTTAGTATTCAGACCAGAATATCCAGGGTTACTTTATCTAGCATCCCAAAAGCAGACTGAAGATCAAAGAGTAGCACGCTGGTCCACAAGGACCAACCCACTCAGTCTGGACTTCCAACAGAGCTCATTCAGAGTCACTGCCACCCCAACACTGTGCATCCCAACAAGACACTTATTAAAGGTAGACTCAGCGAAATTACGTTGTCACGAGCATCACTGCAGATATTGAGATGAGAGAAATTGAAGACTTCGCTCTCACACAGTATCTTCACATGTGCACGGGTTTGCTTCTGCGGAGAAGTTGAGCCTCGCGCTTCAACGCTCTTAGTTGTTGCGGAAATTGACCCATGCTGTTTACTTTCTGCATCTACGTCATATCGCTGAGTCAACCTTTAAGTCCTACTGGCAGTGGCTGTCAAACCATTCTGCAGTATCTCTGTATTGGTAATGGGCCTAGTGAAGCAGTTGAATGAGGGCAGGATGGCAGTATGAACAATAAAACATGCAGTAGCTGCATTTGAAACAGCATTTGACATTTGCATGTTACCGTGCTTGCATTCTTGCGTGTATGTGGGTGCATGTGTGCACGTGGTGCATGTATGCCTGCATGTGGCACAGTAGCTCTCTATACTCACTGCTCTGGTGACGGAGAGGAAGCGGTCATAGCTGATGAGGACTATGTTGAAGACAGAGGCAGTGCAGAGCAAGTAGTCCATGAGGAGCCACAGCTTACAGAGACCTCTGCCCAGCACCCAGCGGCCTGTCAGGTTGTAGGGGATGTACACAGGGATGCAGAATGCACCTGCAAGGACACACTGTGTATAGACTGAACCCCAAACAATGCTTCCATAGCTCCATAATCAATGCCAGAATGAATTTTCACAGCAAATTAATTTCTAAACAAGCCTGCTGGCATGTGGCAGCATTGTGTGTAAAAAATAAATGAACCATCAATTATTTAAGAGCTGTATAAATCAGTTATAAATGTCCTTGTGGAAAACGTTTTGCTAAGATTCTTTCAAAGTTAATTGAAAAAAATATATATGTCTTTACTTTACACAATTATTATCCATTATGATGTCACTTAACAGTGTCTTATATAGATTAATGATCAAACAATTGGCATTATCCCACCACAGAGCCCTACTAGACAGACAGACAGACAGACAGACAGACAGATAGGATAGATTAGATAGCAGACAGACAGACAGGATAGATAAGATAGATAAATAAATAAAATAAACTACTCACCAACAAGAAAATCGGATATAGCAAGGTTGAGGAAGAAGTAGTTGCTTTGATTTCGTAAGCTCTTGTCAACAATGAAAGCCAGGATAACAAGTGCGTTGCCAGCCACAACCACGACTACCAGAATGATCATTAGCACGGCCAGAATTACCATCATATAGCCTGGGTGAGCCGCTCCAGCTTCGTGGACTGTCGCCGAGTCGCCGCCGGGAGTGAAGTTGGTGCTTGTATTAGATTCCGGGATATTAGCTCCCATAGTTAATCTTATAATAAAACCATTACACTTGACTTAGTTATGAAACTATGAATCAATGTGATTTCCATAGATATCCTCCGAACTTTACGGTATTTGTTAAGAGAGGCAGAAAAACGAATACAAAAGTGAAAGCTTCCTTCTGAATGAAAGCAATTTATCCTGTCCTCAAAGATGACCGAGCGGTTTACGGGAGCATAGGTTCGGGTTTATGTGCTACCCTACATTTTAGTGAGCAACGCGAGCGCTTTGAAGTCAGTGTGCAATGGAGAAGGGTGTGTCGATGGTAGTATGGAAAATAAATCCACCTCCAGCGCTCACCGGTATTTCTACGATTTTTTTTGTAGCGCATTTACTACACGCGACCCTTAGGGAAGCAAAAATGGTCACCGAAGAGCATTACATTTACATTTTAGTCATTTAGCAGACGCTCTTATCCAGAGCGATTTACAGGAGCAAGTAGGGTTAAGTGCCTTGCTCAAGGGCACATCGACAGATTTTTCACCTAGTGATTAGGATTAGAACCAGCGACCTTTCGGTTACTGGCACAACGCTCTTAACCACTAAGCTACCTGCCTCCCCGGCAGCCTGGATGTGCATCGCAGAAGAAAAAGAATATTCTGCTTGAACAATTCTTACTTTAAGAATAAGTCTTCTACTTGGAATAAAACCATTGAATATAATGACGGCTGGATTTGATCATTTTTCTATAGAGGTAGCCTATGATTAAAACAAATCTGACATGAAGTGAGAGTGTAAAATAAGGTGGTTTCATGTAGATTTATTTTTGTGTATGTTATTATCCTAAAATAAAACACACAAAAAACAGGTGCATTTGACACATGGTTCTGGAAGCATCCCATGCTAATAACTCTGTAAGGTGAGTCAATTCAACTGTAGCCAAAACCATTCTGCAATTTTGCTCGACCACAGTTATGTTGAAATGCTAGTGCATAAATACTGCAATGAAATGCAGCTGTTTTCCTGGTGGATGAAGCCCCTGGGCCCAAGCCCGTGTGGGGCCCAAGAGACAGCGTAAAAAAAAGAAGTAAAAAAAAAAGATATGAAGGAAATATATAGTGTATATATAATATAGTGAACAAAATTATAAACACAACATTTTGGTCCCATGTTTCATGAGCTGAAATAAAAGATCCCAGAAATTTCCATATGCACAAAAAGCTTATTTTTCTCAAATTTTGTGCACAAATGTGTTTATATCCCTGTTAGTGAGAATTTCTCCTTTGCTAAGATAATCCATCCACCTGACAGGTGTGGCATATCAAGAAGCTGATTAAACAGCATGATCATTACACAGGTGCACCTTGTGCTGGGGACAATAAAAGGCCACTTTAAAATGAGTATTTTTGTCACACAACACAATGCTGCAGATGTCTGCAGTTTTGAGGGAGCATGCAATTGGCATGCTGACTGCAGGAATGTCCACCAGAGCTGTTGCCATATAATTTAATGTTCATTTCTCTACCATAAGCCGCCTCCAATGTTGTTTTGGAGAATTTGGCAGTATGTCCAACCGGCCTCACAACCACAGGTTTACTGATGTCAGCGTTGTGAACAGAATTCCCCATTTTGGCGGTGGGGTTATGGTATGGCAAGGCATAAGCTACGGACAACGAATACAATTGCATTTTATCGATGGCAATTTAAATGCACAGAGATACCTTGATGAGATCCTGAGGCCCATTGTCGTGCCATTCATCCGCTGCAATCACCTCATGTTTCAGCATGATAATGCACGGCCCCATGTCGCAAGGATCTGTACACAATTCCTGGAAGCTGACAATGTCCCAGTTCTTCCATGACTTTCATACTCAACAGACATGTCACCCATTGAGCATGTTTGGGATGCTCTGGATCGACGTGTATGACAGCATGTTCCAGTTCCCGCCAATATCCAGCAATGTTGTACTCTGTACCGGTACCCCCTGTATACAGTGCCTTGCAAAAGTATTCATCCCCCTTGGCGTTTTTCCTATTTTGTTGCATTACAACCTGTAATTTAAATGGGTTTTTATTTGGATTTCATGTAATGGACATACACAAAATAGTCCAAATTGGTGAAGTGAAATGAAAAAAATAACTTGTTTCAAAAAATGCAAAAAAAATTAATAACGGAAAAGTGGTGCGTGCATTTATATTCACCCCCTTTGCTATGAAGCCCCTAAATAAGATCTGGTGCAACCAATTACCTTCAGAAGTCACATAATTAGTTAAATAAAGTCCACCTGTGTGCAATCTAAGTGTCACATGATCTGTCACATGATCTCAGTATATTAACACCTGTTCTGAAAGGCCCCAGAGTCTGCAACACCACTAAGCAAGGGGCACCACCAAGCAAGCAGCACCATGAAGACCAAGGAGCTATTAAACAGGTCAGGGACAAAGTTGTGGAGAAGTACAGATCAGGGTTGGATTATAAAACAATATCCGAAACTTTGAACATCCCACGGAGCACCATTATATCCATTATTAAAAAATGGAAAGAATATGGCACCACAACAAACCTGCCAAGAGAGGGCTGCCCACCAAAACTCACGGACCAGGCAAGGAGGGCATTAATCAGAGAGGCAACAAAGAGACCAAAGATAACCCTGAAGGAGCTGCAAAGCTCCACAGCGGAGATTGGAGTATCTGTCCATAGGACCACTTTAAGCCGTACACTCCACAGAGCTGGGCTTTACGGAAGAGTGGCCAGAAAAAAAAAAACATTTCTTAAAGAAACAAATAAGCAAACACGTTTGGTGTTCGCCAAAAGGCATGTGGGAGACTACCCAAACATATGGAAGAAGGTACTCTGGTCAGATGAGACTAAAATTGAGCTTTCTGGCCATCAAGGAAAACGCTATGTCTGGCGCAAACCCAACACCTCTCATCACCCCGAGAACACCATCCCCACAGTGAAGCATGGTGGTGGCAGCATCATGCTGTGGGGATGTTTTTCATTGGCAGGGACTGGGAAACTGGTCAGAATTGAAGGAATGATGGATGGTGATAGATACAGGGACATTCTTGAGGGAAACCTGTTTCAGTCTTCCAGAGATTTGAGAGTGGGACGGAGGTTCACCTTCCAGCAGGACAATGACCCTAAGCATACTGCTAAAGCAACACTCGAGTGGTTTAAGAGGAAACATTTAAATGTCTTGGAATGGCCTAGTCAAAGCCCAGACCTCAATCCAATTGAGAATCTGTGTTATGACTTAAAGATTTCTGTACACCAGCGGAACCCATCCAACTTGAAGGAGCTGGAGTAGTTTTGCCTTGAAGAATGGGCAAAAATCCCAGTGGCTAGATGTGCCAAGCTTATAGGTGGGTAATTGGGGGACCCTGCGTTGATTGGGTAACTGATTAATAAAATAAAATAAAAAAAACTGCATAATAAATAAATGTGACTGGTCAATTGTGTGAGTGAGGGGCTGGGCCCAAGCCCGTAGTTACGTAATTTTTTTAAATTATTTTAATTTTATATCCAACCACAAGGTGCCCAATTTTAAAAATACACCAGAGAGCATAATTTAGTCACAGAGGATCGATCACTAGTTTATTTAAAAAATAACTGTGGATTAAGTTTTATCACAAGAGCATAGAGGTATCTGCCAAAATGAAGGAAACACCAACATAAATAGTCTTAAAAGGGTGTTGCAGAACAGCTTCAATGCGCCTTGGCATAGATTCTACAATTGGACTCAAATCATGCCAGGAAAATGCACCCCATACCATAAAACATTGTATCACTTGTTTACTCAAGTGTTTCCTTTATTTTTGCAGTTACCGGTATGCCTGCATTCGGGAAGGCTGCGGTTTGGGCAGCATGCGTGCCATAGATATATTATCCATAGAAGGGTTTTGTAACCTCTTAAACCGGGTGTACACTACACGACTTTCAAAATCCTAACATCGCTAAACCTCTAGGATACAGCTTGATGCGTTGTGGCCAAAGACATATAATCCATAGAAGGGTTTTGTAACCTTAAGCCGGGTGTACACTACTTGACTTTAAAAATCCTAACATTGCTAAACTTCTCACATTAAACAACCATCTTTCCTGTAGTTGTTTTTGTCTTGCCAACGTGGTAAACGATGTGGCACAGACAGGGGTCACGCACTACAAGATTCTTCACTTGGTCTTGAGGATTCTCGATTCCATGCTGTCTCGCGAAAACAATTATGTGATGATGTGATTAGATTTAACGTAGACGAGCTGTGGCTCAAAGCAGCCTCAAATGTTTTCAGTTAGACATTCACGCTTGCCATACAGAGTTGAAATATCTAGCCAACATTTTGAATTCAATAACATTGCTTATGAACGTCAGAGCTGTAACGATTTGACACTTAGGCTTTGATTAAAGGCAAGTACAAACGCATACTAGTAGTAGTAATCGCTCCATCTCGAGTCTACACATTATGGGTGACGCGAAACAACGTCATCATCTCACTGGCTTCTTCTCTGGCGAGCTCTCATTGGCTATTGCTCATCACTGTTCTCAAATCTTGTCGTTGCACATTTCACACTACAAGAGCATTGCAGATTTTGTGCCGATAAAATCAAACATGAAAATTCGGGACGTCTGGGACTGCTCAAAGATGAGATCGGTATCCCTCAGATTGCGTCTCTGACCCGCTTACATTAAACGAGCGTCGGTGACGGCCGCGCGCCCCGAGTAGGCAACGACATGGGGATGTTGTCTCCGATCTCAAAAACTTGTCTGAGACAGCTAAATCAGGGCCAAAATCGTGTAGTCTACACCCGGCTTCACCCTGGTAATTTGACTGTTAAACTCATGGGTACACTAGCAATGGATGCCAGTCCTGAATGAATGGGAACTACCATCTATTGATTATATTTATATGGTTGTTTGCGGCTGTCGGTTTGCCTTTTGCAGATTTATAAATACAATCGCTGGAAAAACTTGCAGTTTGGAATGCAAATGCCTACTGCTGAAAAGAGAAGACTAATCTGTCTGTAGAACCAATAGGAAAAAATG